AATGATTTTATTTCCTCCATTATTCATTCTTGCTCTCTTATTAAGAAATCACGATCGCGAGGAAGTGAACTTCCTTCTTGTCAAATTCACGATAGTTTTGTCTCTAAATCCCTGCGTGAGTCATGACTCATGGAAAAATTCATGAATCACAGGTGAATCATGCGTCATTTGGTCCAAATTCAGTATCCGTCTTGCGACTTTTTCCTCGTCCGAGATTGGAATTTGCCTTTGCAGAATCACCTCCAACCAACATAAATTATTGTCATTTTGTGGAATTGTTTCGAGTGAATTTTTCATTTCTTGCACCCCAGCGTCGATTTTAACTGGTACTGGGAATCCCGACGCCCGAACGAGCGAGCGGCATTGCGGGGACTTGCACCAGGCGAACCCTGTGGCGGCCCCCCTCTCTCCCTCCCCACACACGCTCTGTCGCCGGTAAAAGTAGCCCTTTTTGTATTGATATCGTTATGATAGCTTTCACACTGCGTGCATACGCGTTCAGACATGCCTGCGTCACGCGTAGCTGGTCCTGTCGAGCCTATGCCATTTACAGGAGGAAATTAGGTACACATTAGAGAGCTACTTTTATCCATATATCGATATTATCACTATCAACGCTGGGAAACAGTACTACAGCATTGCGTGTGATACGGGATACCCATATGCTTCGTCTATGGGCTATGGCTCCGGCCTTTCAATTGTTAGAGACTGGATTTCGCTTGTTTCACTTCTAACAAGAATGAAGCTAAGGTGTATCTGCAAAATTTCATTTGGAGATGTGAGGTACTTAATGGATATTTCATGTTCATCTGGAAATGTACGTACTCCAAAAAAATGTTTATTGAGGCCTGGCTTCCCATGCCTTCCTTACTACCCCTGACGAGACGAGTGATTTCTGATGTTTCCCTCAATCACCAATGAGAGTTCAAGTGATTTCTGATGTACTTATCAATTATCCACTCGACTACTCTACCCTTTATGCCAGTGAGAGAATTGTATCTGCAGGCAAATGATTTCTCTATTTTGCGAACTTAGCTACGACGCAAACCAAATTCTCGTTTTTCGCGACAGATCGGAAAGTAAAATCAACGCAAGCGCAATGTCGAGGAAGGCGAGAAGAGATGAGATCGACAATTGCCCTTCATCTGCATCATGCCTTGCATTATTATGTCATTCCAACCACGACATCTTTGACGTGTGTATACAATGACAACTGGACATTCGTGAGAACTTCGCCATAAGGCGGGGAATTATGGCCATAGGCATAGACATATGGACGTATAGACGTAGTAGAGTTATAGACAGGGCTAGGGGATGAAATTTTAGCTGGAAATTCATGTGAATCGGGCTGGGCAGGGTCCTGGGCCGGGGAATTTTGTTAGATTGCCCTTGAGCCGTTGAGAAATGTCTTTCGAGTTTTAACGGAAGTCAAGAGGTCGGAAGTGATCCGAGGCTTTCGTGTTTCACCGCATACTTTCACCATAGGAATGGTGATATCCACGATTTTGGATTCTTTGAACCAGATTGATGTCTGCATGAATGAAACATGAGTCTCGTGGGAACTCAGCATCGGAATTCCTCCTTGTACGCTTTCTTGAAATAAAGTACAATGCCAACTTAAAGCCTACCTCTGGACAGTGGTGGATATAGACATTTTTCATACGGGGGCGGTTCCCAAGTTCCTATCTCCCTCCCCCCCGCCTACAACCACTTCCCGTCCTATCGCCTTTTTTATTTTTCGTCTGGGGTAAAAACTTGAATATCTATTTTACTGGCCCCAATAAAATTTAATGTAGATGCAATTAATAAAAAAATCAGTAGAATGATATCTGCTAGTAGAATGCTAACCTGGCCATATGGGGGGCGGTCGGCCCCCCCCCCCCCCCCCCTGGATCCGCTACTGCCCCTATATAGATTTGCTGTCAAGATGAACCTGAGGGTGATGTCATCGCTGATTGTTCCAATCGATTCGCGACTGATGAAGAAGATGTACGGTATTGAATGACGAATGAGAAATATGTATGTGGGCGCCGATTGCTCGCGAAAAAGCTTGAACAAGGAACGAGCTGACACTAAGAGGAACAATGCTAATAAGTGGAGAACCAAGTTGAAGGCCTGAGGAAGTTCACCTGCTTGGATCAGGTACTGGGTGCTTTACATGGATATTACCCACTCCGCAGCCTAAGCTATGAGAGTTGGAAAGAAAACAAGGATATTTTTAGAGTCCTCAATCGATTTTGATTCTAATCAACCCCCATTTTGTCGTTTCAGATGCCGAACGGTTGTAAAGAAGTTATATTCATCGATCGCATGCGTGCAATTACGTTTCAGCACTTCTGAAACGTGAAGCCGGAACTGATATCATTTCTCATTCTTGGGTTGCGAAACTATCAAACGATTTCTTTGGAAATGCGGAACGGCATGGAAGCTCCCTTGATTTGAATGTGACTGGGAACATTGGGGCTATCCCGAAGGAGTGATCTGAGGCTCTCGTGCACAGAGAAGACGAGCAACGTCGATTATCCTGGGAAACCATGGGGAGTAACATAATCAGAATGTAAAAGGGAACGGCAGATGACTTACATCTTGCGCTGCACGTCTTGAAGCTGTCAGAGACGCATATGAATTAATGAAAGTTTATGATTAGATTCATGAACCTGTATCTCATGGGGTATCCGTTCTTTTTTTAGCTCTTGAAGTTGAGACCATGGAGGGAGGGGTTGTGCTATCTATGTGCAACACCCGGTATTTAAAGCGTAGAATCCAGCTTTATCCCCCCCATCCATCCAGCTTTATCGCTGCTGCGCACAGCTGAACGGAGGTGGATCTGAGATTCTAGCACGGCGAGGCATGCATTTTCCCACCGTCGATTCTATTGGAGCAGAATCTTGTCATTTTGCCGGTATCAGCTGCTGAGCCGTCGAGCCGAATATAGGTTTGGTAGGTTAGATGAGTATTCTTATCTCCGAAACAGTCCAAAAATATTCTCGATACCTTATGGTTATATGCTGCAATGATATTCCCTGTGAAGGGGGTAAAGAGTTGTGTGTTCCCGCGGGCGTATTGAATGTATGGTTTTCTTTTCCACAGTGTAAGACGCATCTGGGTTCCTCCCCCCCTTCCCCCATTCCCCCATTTCCTCACCCTCCTCCCCTGCGTGCATGACTTATTTGATCAAGGCGCTCCTAGGTAAATATCCCGCCTTTTGCGGGGTTTTCTCGTTGCCTGCACTATACACTGAGTACGTTTGTTTCTACAAGTTAGTTGGCTTTATGAATTCACTAAAGCCCAATTTTCTCAATCCGTTTTCCCTCTCTTTCCCCACCCAACCCGCATTCTCAATCCATCTCTATGTTGGCTTGCTGGGGCTGGCTAGAATCTCGAATGCACTTGGTGCCCCACGACCTATGCGTCTTGTGTTATGAGCCCACGCATTGGCATGCAGTTTCCATGGGCTCTAGCTAGAAGGGACGTTTACGAAATTGCTCGCTCGATCGAATCATGCGAAAATATGCAGATATGTTTGTTTTCAAGTAAAACATGCTGGTTGTATTCCAAAACGTCCAAGTGTACTATGAACGAAAGGATTTTTTGCGCTGTGGCTCCTGGGGAGAAATGCCGTAACCTCACCAATATGCGATAGACAGGAACGAAGGAGGAAAAACTTGTCAAAGCATAAAAATCTGATCCCTAGTCATCATGGTGTAGGCGTACATGGAGCAGAAAAACGGGGGAAATTCTAGAAGAGACAAAGGGGAGGGAAAAAAATGATGGAGAATCGTTCTTCCATCGGGTGATCGATGCGGGGTAAACATGGAGTGACTCATCTTTATGGCAGATAGGACTGACATTTGTCGAAACGTACCGACTATTGGTGCCAAAAGAAGACATTTGCGCAAATGAAAGGAAAAGAAAAGAGAAAGAGGTACGTAATGTCACCATGAGCCTTGCGAAGCGTAAAAAGGATGCTCCAGGTCGACTGATGCAGAACAGAACTTACTTCCGATCGCACGCTTCCTGCTGTCATGTAGGCTCATGATTTTGCCATCCTTCGTCCAGACTGCTTTAAAGTCAGACTAACGTGTCTTGTGAAATAATTCAAGGTCGACTGGGAACGTGACGCCACAGCCCTTGGTTGCTTCTCCCGGCAAAACACCTCACATTGAAGCACGGCGACGAAATTGACGTATCCCATTGCGCATGCCCAATCGGTGAATGGCCTTTGAGAGGTGCCTGGGTAGGCTCGGCACGTGTCCAGGACTATGTTGTCGCTGTTCTCCGTTTTATCCTTCTGAATTTCATACATTTGATTCATGTGGAGTCGTACATTATTACTCGAGGTCGTCAGTCATGTTATCCAGGAGTTGGATATGGGTTTCAGGCGCCCCATTTCGGAATTCTTGACCTTCGTGTTTTCCTGCACATTGTGACAGAGGACCCCACGCATCGAGGACTGGCTCGTCATGAGATCTAGAGTCTCTAGATTCCACTCGGAAGGCGATGATGAGCCGGACTTGGAGATTCACTACCAGTACTTCCACAACACCGTTGTAATACATTACGATGGCATGAGCCACAGGTTGAGAGAGAGAGAGAGATGACTACGGCTCGGTTGGGATAAAGGAAAAGCTTAATATGGGTTGTTAACAACGAAGCAGAAGAGCGCGTGTGTCTACCAGCGCTTGTCTATTTAGATAGGTAGAGTTACCCAGCTTCGAAAATAAAAAAAATTCCTTAAACCGGATGTTTTGGGACTCCCTGCACAATTACCTCCGGAACTCCTAACTCCGGAAATTTCACTTTCTGAGATGGAAGTGCAGGGGCTGCTTAAAAACGGCTGGGAAATGTGCCATTTATCGGCGAATACTCCGTTTGGAATAGGACAGATTCCTTTCCCCACTCTGGAATGTTCATTACGTAGAGCCTCTTTCTCTCTACTGCAATACAGTGCATAGTCTTGCATGCAAAAATGACCCTGTCTGGTATATATGTGCTGACAGGCATGAGAAAAATGGCTGAGTCGGAATGGGTTGAGATGGGGGAAGGCAGGAAAAAGTTCCACGTGAATCCCGTGGACGACCAGAACCTGGACCTGGACGCTCAACATTCCCAAGAACGCTCCGTGAACGGCATCCCCCGTAAGACGCCTTTAATTCGCCCTTCAAAAGTGCAAGAGATGATCTATGATCTATGATATAAAGAGATGATCTATGGCAGTGGTGCCCAACCCGTGGCCCGCGGGCAAAAAGTGGCCCTCGAGGTGCTTACAAGTAGCCCGCGAAGCCCTAACCCACAATAAATACCTTTAGGTTTCTTTAAAATAGTCTCCTACAAGTGACTAGTGACTGGCCCGCCATGGCTGTGGGAATGAGCTATGTGCCCCGGTAGCCGAAAAGGTTGGGCACCACTGATCTATCGGAAACGTTTTAGTTATTGAATTTGAGGTCGCCATCTACAGGTATTTTGTATATGTAGACTATCCGTGAACCTCGGAATGATGTCACAACTTTCCTCATTTCATTTTTAGAGCGACTGAGAATTAATTTATGTGACCCTTGTCTGTGTTGAAGCACAACGATATGGTGCTTCAACGCGCTCTTCACCCCTTACCTACTCAACGTTTATCTTAAAGGCATGTAACTCGATGGAACATTGGATCTTCTAATACGGTAATACTTTCTTGGTTCGCATTTTCCCCAAAGAAAGAGGGGCCAATAACGCATCTCAGCTAAATTTGGCAAATGAATTACTCTCAACGAATTCCCTCTCTCATCATTCTCCTCATTCCTCGGGGTTTTTCAAACAAGGATCAGAGGAATTACTTTCTCAGTCACAAAAGTGGATGTGAGAAAGATGCGACATCATTATGAGGTCTACAGATAATCAACGCACAAAAAAATTGGTTGCTTCATATTCAATAATTAAAGAGTTGTCTAGAGAAAGTCACTTTATGGATACCCAGTAGTTCCTGCTCCTCCTTCTGCTACGTATCAGTACTTTTTTTTAAATAATCAATTTATTGAATTTTATCCCTGAAGTTATAATGTAATTGCTATATCGTTCTGTGGTATTCCATTTTGCTAATAGTTTTTTTGTCGTTTTATTTTCATCGTGGTTTTGATTTTGCGATACGACATTGTCATATGCGCCCTACTCATCTCTACATTTTGATTGCAGTGACGTCGACATACGACACTAGGTACCTGAAGTCTCTGCGTCACCTGACGCGGGAAGTATTTCCAAGGGAGTACCATTACAGGAACATGCAGAGCATCGAGGCGGAGTACCAGCGTCCGACCTTGGATGAGCTCCATGCTGCCACTGTCGTCCACAAACCCAAGGTGGGATCGCCGAATAAAATGAGCATGTCATTCAATACAATAGGTAATCTGTAAGTAAACCGTGAATTATGTGCATAAGCAGAAATAGCATGATGAATCTCGGAAGCAAAGAATCTGAATAAAAATTCAAAGCCTGAAGATGTCCATGTCGAATTTGAGACATTTTTAGACGTTTTGCTTCTCAAATATGACAAAATTGTTAGAATTATGCTAGAAAGAAGCACCACTGCTTCCCCTTTTGGATTGAAATCGACGAGGAATCGAGAGTCCTAGCACCAGGAGTCACAAGTGGTGAAGTCCCTAAAATAGGCGTTTTGAGAGGGAAAGGAACTTGCGAGGGACTTCGAATGCTCTAGCTCTGAGGAACAGACAGAACATGAAGCTATGAAAAAAAGAGGTACGTACCCAGCGGCCTTTTCCACAAAAACTTAGTTAACTTTGCATTAACCTTTCTTTATCCTTGCTTTAACTTTTCTTTGTCTACCGTATGCTATAACTTCCTATGACTAACTATAACCTCCTATAGCTTTAGCTCAATTCAAAATCCATTCATAAAGCTTCTTGATCCCTTCTTTAATTTTAAACTGGCTTAGTTTTCATGGCAATTTCTTCAGAGGCATGCTGTCTAGTGTTCCTCGAAAAGTAAACTCTGTTTAAAAAAATTTAGCTATCATGGGCACGACCCGCCACAACACTAGAAAATTCCATATGGGAATCACAAACAAGCTGAACGTTGAGAGAGTGGAATCCTTTACGATTCACATAAACGCGTTCAGTCTTTTGGAGCCACGATCGGAACATGTGCCTCAATCACGTTTGGAATGTTGAATGCCTGAAGCTGTTCCTCAGATCGACGACATTCTCTCTGAATGCAGGGAACACCACGAACTTTTTAAAGGCATTCAGAGATAGCATCACACACCGAATGGATGCACCGAAATACTGTGGAAATGGAGAGGCCTTAGTCATTAGCAAGCATGGAGTAGATGGAACCTGTGGTCAGGGATCGAAAATTGCCAAACTTATTACATGTTGAATTGGTAGTGCTCTGCAATAAGCTGTACCCCTTTGTATTTTCACCTGCATTTAGCACAGATATCCAAGATAAGGCTCCGTGAGCCGGAGTCCTTCATCATCGTACACTTCCAAGGGACTGCCTTGGTCAAGAAGTACTATTTCCCGGCGAAGCTGCCTCTGAATTAGATTAAGCCGTGCCAGGCATGGTCGTGTTAAGATGGGGAATGGTAAGTCACAACTGACTGAGAAAATGCACATGCATCGCTTGAGGCATGTTATCAAGAATGCACACAGGTTGGCAGGGTTTTCCTTGCCCTCAGAGAGGTTAAAGTTGAGATTGAGAGACCCCGAAAGCTGTCTTTTTTTTCTTATTTCCTGTCGAGATAGAGTCGAAACAGAGCTAAGATTGAGTTGAAAATCTTCGTGAAAAACGATTAAAGAAAACGTATGGCCAAAGTAATGTTTAAGGCTTGTTTAAACAAGAAGATAGCCGAAAGTGTGAGTCGCGTTTAAACCGAAGTATAGCCGAAATAAAGTTAAAGTATAGTTAAAGATGTTTTGTGAAAATGACCCCAGAACACCCAGACCGATCTAGGGGAAAAAAGGATCATCAGACCGATTGTGAATCAACCACTGGATGTATTGAAAAGCATAAGTCAAAATCCGAAAGTCCCATTTGAGAAAATTGCTGATTCGATATTGACCAATAAACATGCCTCGCCTTTTCGGCATGGGGGTCTGAGCACCTGATATCGGAATTACAAAGAGGTACTTCCTCTACTGTATTGAATCGATCTGAACAAGCAGAGTAGTCGTCGTCTCGTGCGTAATCTCAGCATACCATGAGAAAACATTTCACGATGTTTTCTCATGGTATGCTGACATTGTGTATGGAGAGTCACCATAAATGTAAAAAAGAAAAGCAAGAACAAGAAAGCCGATACTCTCAAGTGCGAAAGAGTTAAAATTATGTGGGACCATGCCCCCCAACAGCAAGAATACGACTTCAGACCTGAGAATTCTTTGTGAAGACATTAAGCATCTTGGCATGAATAGACTAAACACAATGGATAAGGCACGTTTGCATGCGGCGTTGCAGTGTCACGAGCTCACGTATTTGTGGATATCAAAATCTGATCAGGAAACAATTTTTATTTCTTTCCTGTCATCCTTTCTGGTGTTGATGTGGAAGCTTTTCCTGAGGGAGACGTGAGAACAGCATCCCGAGTTTTTCCCCCTTTAAGGGTGCCCGCACATCGTATCAGTCTAATCTAGTCAAGTCTAGTATAGTCAGATTATAGTGCATCCGAAACGTTTAGAGTTCAACATGCAGTGACTGATATCGCGTTCACACCGCATCAGTCCGGTCTAGTCAAGTGACTAGACTTATTCGGCGTGAAGGCGATATGAGTCATTGCTTGTTGTGAAGGCGATATCAGTCATTGCATGCTGTGAAGGAGATATGTATGAGTCATTGCATGTCGAGTTATGAAACTTTAAACGTTTTGACTGGACTAATCGTGACAAGACTAGACTGATCCGGTATGCGGGCACCCTTAGGTTGCCATTCGGGAAGGTGTTCGTATATAAAACCGTGTTTATTCTTGGTGGATTTAGTTATTTTTCATTGATATACGGGCTCCCTTCGCTTTCTAACATGTTCATGACTAGGGACCCAGATCACCATAATACGAGGCAAACCCCTCAAGTTAGGCTTGACTGCCAATCAAGTCATTTTTGTGAGGTCCGGGTGTGGATTGTCACAGTCTACTTTTCAATGCCTCATGCAAGGACTGCTTTTCCGCAGCTTAAATATTGGGCGAATTCGCTCGCAGGTGTTTTGCGTCGTCAAAGGCGATTCCTACGTCCGAAAGTCATGTTTCCCTGTTGATCGGGGCTTGATCCCGCTCAATTTGTTTCTGCTTTTGTTTTGCCTGAGGGTTTAGGCTTTCTCTTATTCAGAATCCCATTCCGGCCCTATACGGCTGTTATTCAGATATAAAATATATTTTTTCTCATGAAAAGCGCGCGATTCCGTCGAAGATAACAGTGGATTTCATGAGGTCTCACGTGACTTTCACGTTTCCTTTTCTTCCGAACTTCCTGGTACCCGGTTGCGTCACGAAAATTCTCCAGGTCTTTGTATTTCAAGGAGAAAAACAACGAATCTGATAAGAGTGGAAATGCGGAATATGAAGATGACAGGGACCCTGCATTGCCCTCGATTGTGACTGATCTGATGTTTGATCTCGAGGAGGAGACCCGACCGGAAAAATAAGAGTTTGCGGAATCTCATCCTCGGACCAAGAAGAAAAACAGGAACAAGATGACTTCATCAATTGCGTCTCAACAGGGAATAGATGTTAAGCCCTGCCCGCTTTATTTTCCTATCGCGTACCCGTTCCCTCTCTGATCCCGCAAACTGTCTATTTTGTCAAGGATCCAATGATCCGGCTCGAGCATCATCTCGTGCCATCATCTGTGTTGTACATCATTCTCGTTTCATCATACAATATAGGCATTGCTCACGTAATCTTTTTCCTGTATGGCCTGTGCCGGCCCAATATCTAGGCCGGTTATGGCGGATGAGAGGACCCAAAATGATTATGCATTCGTAGGTCGTTGGTGTTGATTACAGTATTGCCGTGGAATCGCCGATTTCGGGATATCACTGTTACCCCTTCGGGGCAGAATGTCATGGTCGCAATCTCAGTATGGCGTCACTGTCCCAACACAACATCATCAGTAGGGCCATATCATGATGCTTATGATGTATTGAAGGAGGAGATGGATTATTCACTAGCGTGAGATCGCCAGTGAAAGGATGGGAGGGGGGGGGGGGAAGGAGAGGGGAGAGGAGAAAGCGATATTGAGGTTTGCTGCTTGGATGGAGCCAGCGTCCGGAAGGCGTTTTCCATTTCCTTCTGTTCTCAGTGAAGTCTTTGTTCTTTTGGTGTCAATGGGTTCCCTCTAAGTGGTGTATCTCATCATTTCTATGCTTCTAACCATTGATGGGGAGCGGCAAGAGAAAATGAGTGCAACCATTCGCGGTCACAGGCTTGGATCGAACCAATGGCTTTGCGGGCGGCAGATGCTCAATTTTAATAAAAGAAAGGCGGGGGGTGAATGGTGCATGGGCGGTAGGGTTCATTATTATAAACGTAAGCATTCGCGAGGTCGCTCTCGGGAACAGTGAAGAACTGTTTATAAAGGAGACCTCATGAATGCTTAGTTTGATAACAATGTACGTTATAGTCTGAATAATGAACTGTCCGAACTTTAGAAGGTTTTACCCTCATATATATAAAAAAGGCCACTACAACTGAAACGACTGAAGAGCATGCGCTAGTTTGGAACCCAAAGATTAACGAGAAGAGAAATGGACGGTAATGTGTCTAGTTGTGTTGGTTTCACACAAATTATAATTTGTGACGTTTTGCGGGAAAGGAGTATTGACAGGAAAATGGCGTCGTGGTGGTAGTGACGGAGGAGGACGATGATGTGATGATGGGGAAAGGTGATGAAAGATGGGATTCACGTTTTTGAAATATATGTAATTTTTAAGCGAATGTTTTCATTATATGCAGGTTGGGGCATAGGCCCTACTCTCTCGTCAGAAAAGATTAACAATGCCAGATGGGAATTTTTCACATACCATGACTAAGTGAGATCTCGAGAGCATAGACACGTAATTAATATTCTGTTTGACTCCCATTTGCTTGAAGGACGACATCCTATCTGCCGGGGCAAGATTGCAGCTAAATCCTGAAGAAATCACTTTCTGGATGCTCTTTGAACGCCCCTTCCTGATGAAACAACAACCTTGCTCGTGGAAATTTTACCTTTGGGTGGCCCAGAGAACTTTCTGGTCTCAGTTTGGTTCACAATAGCTCCTAGGTTTTCACAGACTTTTAAGGTCGGGGGAGTCCCTAGGCCATTCTACGTCAGCAAAAATGTCAATCTGATTTTGTCGCAGCAGTTCTTGAATAGTCAGAGCCTTAAAACAAGTTGCTTTATCATGCAGAAAAGGTAGCCTTGCTGGGAGCTGGGGCCACTTCACCCTAGTGCCTAATTGTTTAATATTAATTTAAGATCTTAATTTTATCGATTTTTATACGATAACTCAATCGAGTTTTATACGATTTTGGCTGTGTGATATTCTCAACATAATCCAACTGTATGCCAAATTTAATTGAGTTTGAGATGGTCGAGCAACACACCTTGAGGTGTTTGTCAAAATTAGACAGGTTTCACCTGTTAAATTGTATAACGGGGCATTGTATGACCCAGACAATGGTACTGGCGAAAATCTAATCCTCATTTCAATACTTCGTAACATCCCAATGTCGATCTTATCAAACTTATTGCAACAGGTCGCCTATAATAAGTTATTTCTCTCCTCTAGAAAATGACAGGGTGTTTCTTTTCTAAATCACCTTATATAGGTGATTACAGTGATTTTGTTATGTATATCATGATGTTATTGTGGCTTCTAGTTCTGCCGTTCATGAAATGATGATGGTGATGTATTTATCAACGATGATACTTTGGACCCGTCTATGCGACGTTCACAGTGCCATCAATGCATTGACAAAAATTTAGGTCCCTGTCACCCACCAAAGCTCCATCCCCCCCCCCCTCCCTTCCTCTTCCTGAAGATCCCATGAATAGTTCCATTCCCATGCAGGCAGGACAGGAACTAATGCATACCAATGCTGTTTACTGTTTACGGGAACTCCTAGATCTCATGTAATGAGAGCAGTATCTGTAGGTCAAACATATCCTGCACGTAGGTAGAAAGCATGATGCGCCATCCCAAAACTCACATCGCTTTCTTCACTCTACAATAAATAAATATCATTTGTTCATATCAGCTTTTTCATGGGTGTCACACCCATGCACACAGCTGGCTTGTCTCGCTATCAGATTATTCAAGGTTTTTTTTTACGGTTTTATGCAAGGGCAGATAATTTATGAGTGAATACATTTTGCAGCCTAGAATCGATGGCATCTCGTACACGAAGGACGATGAAAGCAAAACAAAGAATGGAAACCAGGAGAAAAAATTTTCCCTTCATGGAAGGTGCATGAACCACTCTTTGTTCCATGAAAGCTGTTTCCTTTGTTTCCTCTCATGCCTCATATGATCCCTTTCCTATCCCTATTCCTCTTATTGAATAAGAAAAAGAACAAATACCACGCTGCCATTCTTTCCGTACTCGAAGTCGTTGAACGTCTTCATTCCATATTGTCTAGGAGCTGGACCCTCCGGAGGAAGAAGGACCCAGGAAGGGCGTCATCAAGTTCGGATGGCTCGAGGGCGTCTTTGTGAGTTTTAGTCCCGTTTTGTTCTCGTATTCATTTGCAAATCAACAATTAGTTTCATTCCTCTCCGACTCCTAATGACATACTCATTACCTCCAACTTTTCATTGCTTTCTTCCAATTCTTGATTTCCTTTCCAATTTTTTTGGAAGTAACTTTTCGAGTGATCAGTACAGCAGTTTATTGGTTATTTCTAAAACTGCTAATCGGTCAGATAACTCAGGTCGATTAATCTTAGACTGTTGAACCGATAAATGTGATTTAAAAAATTTAAATTTAATCGGTCAGTAGTTCTAAATCGAAGAAGGAAGCATAATCAGAGTGGGATGACACTAAGAGTTCACCAAAGTTCGAAGTGGATCACTGTCATAAATGACTATAAATAAACAATACATTGGTCCAGAACAATCATTTGGTTTCACGCAGCCTGGATCATTTGTTTGGAGTCATATGGGCATCCGCACGATCGGATACAGTGGTTCGGGTACAATGTGGTTCAATATTCGCCATAATTAATCACCTTTGTCGATACCCATGAAATCGATAATGATTCATTTCGAATGTTGAGTGGTGCTAATTGACAAAGGCATTCATCTCCCAGCCTAGACAGGATCCATTCAAGGAGAGGCTTGAGAAATTATTGTGACTATGTTAATTTCATTATTTCAGTATTTACTTAATCAAAATTAAAATCATAAATGCAGTTAAGGTATTCATTCGATTGGTTAAATCCAAGATAATTGGCAATCATATTTGAATGTATTTCGCAGAGCTTTCTGTTAGGGTATTGAACTTGTTTTTGTACTTTTTAGTTTTAATTGATCGCAGTGGCAATATGGCGCACGGCTCAGTTTCAGTGTCCTACTGATAATCTGGTGCTACACTAACGTAATGGCCTACAATGAACATATCCATGGATTTGATCGAAAGCTGAATCTTCAGATGGAACAACTGAGCAGCGGGATGATACCAGAAGTTCTGTTTTGAAATCTGATTCACTACTGTGTAATTTTCCCTTTCGGTGTTTTGACATTCTGCAATGGATTTATTTTTATGTATTTTTTTTAAAGGAATTTCTTTTTTTTCCCACGAAAGCAACGATTAGGATTAATTCGAAGTTTCCCGTCACGCATTCGATTTTGTTCATTGCCTTTTTCTTAATTGTCGGTAATTTTTAAGGTAAATGAATATTTTTAATCCTTTCTTTTTGGCTCATATGAAATTTCTGGAACAGATGCGGTGTTTGTTGAATATCTGGGGTGTGATGCTGTTCCTCCGACTCTCCTGGGTCATGGGTCAGGCTGGCATCAGTGAGTCCTTGCTTCGTCATCGTCACATTTGCCAAACGATTTGCTGGTGCTCACTTCTAGACAATTCTGCTTTATTTTAGTCGAAGGCCTTACAATCATCACCCTTTCCAACATCGTGACCATCATCACCAGCATCTCCATGTCTGCCGTCAGCACAAACGGACAGATCAAAGGAGGTCCCACACCCACTCATCTTCACTTCATTCAGTCATTAGACTAATCTCGAATCGGAATATGAAACGTCGTGCGTTCTGTTGTAGGTGGGATCTACTACATGATCTCGAGGTCCTTGGGCCCCCAATTTGGCGGGGCCATCGGACTCATGTTCACGATCGCCAACAGCGTCGCGTGCGCCATGTACGTCATCGGATTCTGCGACTCCCTGCAGGACCTCCTCAAGTACGAGTTCGACGGGGCGAAGATCGTGGACGGGGGGGACAACGACACCCGGATCATCGGCGTCTGCACCATCATCGTCATCATCGGCATCGCCTTCGTCGGCATGGACTGGGTCACTCGGGTAAAGTCAGATGATTCCGCCTCGCTCCCTCTCCCTCCCGCTGTCTTCATTGGGTGCGCTCCCGGTCTCCTTCATTTCATTGGCTGACCTGGAACATAGGATAATGCAAGTTCACTCTCCTCTGCGTGAAGGGAAAAGCAAATGCATTAAGCATAACCAGGCCAGTATGGTATATGAAGAGTGCTTCGCAGAAAGAGACAGTAAAAAAATTATAATAATAATTAAAAAAAGCACACGAAAAAATGTATTTACAATTTAATAGATTTCTGCATTCTGCTTGCCAGTGTTACTCCAATCTTGTCTAACAATCGTGTCATTTTGTTTGGAAATCAGGGAATCTCCGATAGAGAAATTGGAGTTTGAATAATACGGAACTAAAATAAGAGAATGGGTGGCATGCACCAGATTCGTTTAACTTTAACTAATCTGATCTCACAATGGTCCTCTATGGGAATTCATTTGATGGAGATAATCCTATTCCCATAGACGCCCATAAAGTAACCAGATCAGTTTAAAGTTAAACGGATCTGTTGCATGTCACCCAATGAGACCCAAAAGGAGCTCTTTGAGGAAGGACTCCAGGCGTTCATTGTATTATGTGTTAGTTACAGAATATAAAATTAGTATTGGAAGCTATTTCTTTGGGAAACGATGCAAAACATGTGGGAGTGGGAGGCATAAAAAAAAGAAGGCTGAAAGAGTAAAAACAAATTTGAAAATCTTGGAGAAAGGAAATTATACCGTCGAAATTTTCTTAATCCCTTTGATACGGATGCAATAGTGTTGCAACTATTCTTGGAAGGAAAAGGATCATTTCACTGCTTAATTGCTCAACAAAAATTAATTTAAATCAAATTCCTTTCTATTAAAAAAATGGACAAAACCATTCGGGCAACACCAGTCACCATTCAGTAGCGGAAGCAAAACCGAAATTGACACTCGTTTGTACGAAGCAAAAGTTACTCTTGCCGAGAAGGAGAAGCCAAAGGGGAAAGGGAATTGGAATCAGTCGATAATAACGGCCCTATAAGAGATTATTTCTGGAAATTAATTTATGCGCTTCGAAGGGAATTGGAAATTCCTCCTACGTGCCAATGAATAAATTAATTCCTTACATAAAATTCCTCTGACACTGGGGAGCTATGGAAGCTTTTTCCTCAGTCGCATGCGAAACCACTCAACTTTGAAAATGCTGAGATCTAGCTGACGACGAAGAGACCTTATAAAGAAATTCAATCACTACTTTACTCTCGGGCTCCCAACGCTTTGCCTTTGGATTCCATCATTCGGAATTGATATGGGAAGTTCCCCCGAGTTTTGTGAAAGTGAGGGAAAACTCAGAGACGCGTGGGAAAAATCGACCTCATGATGGCTCGCTAAGGAAGCGGAGAAAGTGGACGCGGAAGGTGAAGATAGTGATCGAAAATGCGAATTTTTGGTCTGGGAAATTATCCCCGAAAGGACGTGGATAACCAGGAAAAGTCGAAGAATTTTCTTTTGAAACTTTTGTGGGAGCCCAGCGTGTGAATGACACCGCGCCGAGGAAAACTGTGAATCTGCACGCAAATCTCCTGAGCGAGTTTGCCTATCATCTCAAAGAAAAAAACTATATTTTTCCCTAATTTTTATTATTATTATCCTTGCAGACCCAAGTGATATTGCTGGTCGTGTTGGTCGCATCCCAGGTAGACTTCATCGTCGGTTCTTTCCTGGAGCCATCCGACGAGGCCAGGGCCAAGGGCTTCGTCGGCTACAGCGGTATGGCCATCTGCGCGAAGAGAAAAACGACCGTTGTTGGATTGTTTTCATCGCAAAATCGGTCCAAGCTACAGCTGTGCATGTTCCATCTACATTTTGTCACAAACTTAAATTTTTTTCCTTCAGATTTTCTCCATCTCGGTTTAGCCACAAAAGCACTTTGAAGTAAGTAAAATATTTGGAAATTCCCACACAGCAAAGCAGAAACGTAGAATGAGGTACATATTTTGTACGTTATGAGGTTCAAATGCATGTTGTGAAATTGAAGGGGTACCGAAGAAAAATCGAGAAGAAATATGTACCCTTCTTATCTCTATTCAGAAGGTACGAATGGTGTATTTTCTTTAGAATCCCATGTTTACCTCGTTTCAGGCTTAACCCTTTAAGCGCCTCCGTTGCCGTTTGCGACTTGAGACACCCTAGTATATAGTAATTTAGTGCCCCAGAGTCCAAAAAGATCGTCAGTAGTCAGTTCCAACCGTCACCAATAGATGGCCTCTGTGTCTATCCATGCTGTAAAAGGTACCATACTGTGAAGGACTTCAAATTGTGCCATCTGGACATGGAAGACTAGTTTGATTAGCTGATGTTCACTGAATGCCGGACTCCGCTGGTGCTAATGGTAGGTAATATTTAGATGAATATTTCAGAAAACAATTAAAGTGTGTAAGAGATATTTCCAGTGTGCTTTTGTTCAAAATCAGTGAAGTCACTGTGAGCAAATCGGTGACAAAAGTGACTTTTTGAATATTTTTCAAGAAATCCAAGATGGCCGCCATTTGATGACGTCATACAGTATATGCAAATTAGGTTTTTAAAAATTATTTTTTACAATAAACTATGAATGATGCCTGCTAACTTTTTCCATTACAGTGATACTCCTTGAGTAGCTGCAGGCTTCAAATATAGCATGATAAATTTCAGCCATCTGCAAGAAAATTTGGCGCTTAAAGTGTTAAGGCGTTTGAAAGATCTGCTAATGAACCTCAATTTTCAGCTTTGAAGAGAGATTTAGTGACACCGTCATCCGGCACCACGTCTTCCACAGTCGGCGAACTGTCACAGATAAGGGAGATCCTCTTACATCATCATGTTAACGGAGACGATGACAGCTAGCCAATGTCTCCACGACGCTACCGGACGTGCTGGCTGTCTCATACACAGCGCCTTCTCCAGTTACCATGGATACAATGCGTAGCGAGTCTGGCACATTGTAAAGACGATTGTTCGAGTTTATTGAAAGTTGGTTGCTCATTGGTCCGAGAGAAACTCCTAACCTGTCAGTTGACATATCTCTGTCCTCGTACAAAACTCAGCATTTAAAAATCATTGAATCAATCAGAATCATTGATTGCCATTGAAACATGAAAATTATATTTTTACTAAATACTAATTTACAAGTATCACGATGAGATGAATACAAGGAAAGAAAGAAAGCTCTTTCAAGGTCCGGTGCGTCCTGTCGAGTTCGAATGTTCGGGGGAACATAAGCGCCATCTTATGCCTATTTTGAGTACTGAATTGGGAACCCGGACGTGCGTCTGCAACGTACCACTGTGTACGTCTGGACCAGATCCACACAAAGGTACGTACGGAGGTACGGATCCCGAAGGATCCAATTATATACGTCTCACATGCGTACCTCTCCTCGCTCGTTTCTACTTTGCTGTGTGCACGAGTCCAAGGGAAATGACTGAAATTGAACGATGGGTCGTCCTTGCACCTGCACTACATTTTGCAAGTGAAGAATTGTTCCTTGAATGAAGTTGGATAAACCAGATGGGTGGAAATTCTGAAAAAAATGTTCCAAGCCGTAGATGCATATATCCTGAAACATGCATACCTTCAGCACTGGCAGATTTCCATTTCCTGATGTACAAATTCAAACAGCGGGACGTGTTTTCCTCCGCACTCATTTGAAACGCATGATCAATAGATTAGAGGGTTTCAGTATTCTCTGTAATATTGAAACGGAACTTTTCTGTCCGTTCAGCGGAAGTGGCGAAACGGAACTTGTATTCGAAATACGGACCGTCGGGGATCTCGCCGAAGGACCAGGACTACTTCAGCGTCTTTGCCGTTTTCTTCCCCGCCGTCACGGGGATCGTGGCCGGCGCCAACTTGTCCGGAGATCTCAAGGTTAGAGTTATTTGCCACGAAGTCGGTATCGGGTGTGTCTCCGGGACCTTGATCTTTCAAGATTAAGGTCCATTATATTAATTTTTAAATTTATTTATCGGCATCGAGGTCCAGGGAATTCCCTGGTCGCTAGAGGGTCCCTCAAGAAATCGATGTTGTCTTCGAAGTCTTCGGAACGAGGGACAAGGCCGCGAAGAAATGTCTTTCGATCAATATGATAGGGATGGCACGGAGCGCGGCACGGAGCGCGACTGAATTTCCCGGGTTCGTTGGCGTCGCGATAGCACGTCGGATCGGCAGTCAGAAGGCTCGTGTTCGATTCCCGCCCGTTCCGCGGTGGTTTTTTTTTATTATCGTCCTCTAATGGACACTGCAGTGTTAACGCCATGACGCTAAAAATGCCCTTGACATTCTCAAACTCCGGCAGAAAGGGTATAGCGTGATAAATCGATATCACGTCCCTGACACGTCGACCTTGTGACATTTCTAACGAGGCGTTCCTCGCCTTCAAATTGCGATCGAAGCCGCTGGCGATCATGAAATTTAACCCGTAAAAGTAGAATCGAATTTTTAATGCAGAAAAAGGCATCTGAGGAGGGGACTTAGGTTTCAAGGCAGCCTAGCTACTCTCCCTTTGTTCGGTTTTGACAGTTTTCAGCTGTCAGAAAAAAAATTAAAGTCTGAATTTTCCCGCATTAAAAAGTACTTCTTCTGAAATGAAACTTCGAATCACTTTCATCGCATAGCAAAAGTCGCCGTTTTCGCATCGTTTTCTGCACATTCGAAAATTTCCTGACTTTAGAGATGCCAACCCGATTTTATTATTATTATTTTTTTTTAAATTTTATTATTATTTATTATTTATTCTATTATTATTTATTCTATTATTTATTCTATTATTATTATTTATTATTTATTCTATTATTATTTATTCTATTATTATTATTAATTTTTTTTTTACCACTCGACAGAATCCGTCGAGTGCGATCCCGAAAGGGACTCTGGGAGCCGTCTTCCTCACCTACCTCACCTACGTGGGTTACGGAGCGATGATCGCCACTTGCACGGTCCGGGACGCGACGGGGGACGTCCGGGACCTGGGGAACGCCTCGCTCCTCGACGCCCCCGCCTACAACTGCACCGCCCGCGACTGCGACTGGGGGATCAGGAACAACGGCCAGGTGCGTGACTCGAATTTCGCCACTTTTTCTTAGGTTCGTTTTCTGCTTCGTTTGAGCGCGTCGAGTGTGGATTTGGGGGGGAGGGGGGGGGGAATTTGGTCTTATAGGTGGATTCTCATTGAAATTGTTTTTAAAATAACGGAAAGTAGTTACGTGGGCGCGTTCATTTGACCGCTTTAAATTTTCGTGTAAGAAGCAAGTGATTGGAAATGTGAAGAAACATGGACGATTTTTTGTCGATCGAAATTACTGGGGACCTGTCAAGCTGCTTTTCTTTTCATTATCTGGGCGTGCCCAGCTGGGATTCTCGTCCATGTCACTCTCACGTTGCGCGCGCGTGGGACGGGTGGTGGGTACGTGCCTGCGTTTCGAATCTCTTCACGTCCCCCATTGCCGTATTGAAATATTGCGCGGATGTGATGAATGTGAGCGACGCGAGTTGCGTCAGAACGATTCGACGTGCATAAATTTTTGTATCGGTGGGGCACCAGGGTGGCGACCGCGATAGAACCGAAACTCGAGAGAGAGAGAGAAGACGTCATGTTTCTTTTCGAGACGGTTATGAAAGCCGAACTGCATTCGCAATCCGATTCGCCAGCGTCGTGCCGGGTGAACGCTCGATGAACGCGATGAGAGCGTTTCATCGTTTAGAGGGTTGAAAGTCCGACTTGAACGTAATTCCGATCTCGTATCCCTTGGGCTTTTTTCTTTCTTCTGACTACAATCGAGCAATTTATCAAAAAGGCAGGATTCCATTATTCTCTAATGTGGTCGCAGTCCAAAATGGGGAAGGGCAAGTGAGATGAATATACCGGGTGATTAAAGAGTCCCTTCCGCGGTGCTTGACTCCAGTGTGCGCACGGTATGAGGCGCAGTGTGCGCATGCTAAAAGGCAGGGGCGTAAAACTCGATTAGGCTGTGGGCCGGAGGGAATCCTTCTGGGTCGGTTGGAGGCCGCACTGACAAATAATTTTATTTACCTGGAATTTTTCATGCGAGCAGGTTGAGGTTTGGCAGCGTTTGTATATTTAAAAAAAATGTCGAAGCTTCACGAGCCGGACGACGTGGACCGGCGGGTCACCGGTCTGACACTCCTGCCATAAAGGGCGGGGGCGGTGAGACTCGAAGGGCAAGTGGAATGAACCACGCGGAAGGAGACGGTCGTCGATCGGGAACTGCATGACTGTGGAGTGCTCGATCGGATCGCCTTCGTGCGGTATGGTGCTTCGCCCCCAATCGCGGATCCAGTCGAGGACATGTTCCAGACCAATTTTGGTAGCAGTCATCGGCAAGGAATGGCCTCCGCGGCATCTATCGACCTCACTACTATTGGCTTTCGGTCGTGGGACTTTCCAGGAGCAAAGGTATACCGAGGACACACTCTTAACTCTCCTGCGGTTAAAGGACGCCATTCCACGAGTTAAAGGACGCCATTCCACGAGAAGTCCACCTTGTATCGTTGGATTTGCTACGTGCTGCTTGGAACATTATTCCACGTCTGCAGACGATTGACGCTAAAAGTGGAGCACGTTTCGAGTCTCTTGTTAATACCCTGGACAGACCAAAGGCTCCTGAATGATGAATGCGATGGTGGCGCACTCATAACTTCACGACCTGCATTCGACTTTGCCATATTTTTCCGCATGCATCATTTAACCTGTTCCCCAAGTTTTATCGTCCTACGTCTTAGAGAGTGGGCACACCTGTGTTAAACCTTGCTCGGAAACCGCGATCGCTTGCATTTTCTCGCGTTTACCTTCGGTCGGGTCTCACGTTCGAAGAGCAACGTTCCGAACGTTCGCTGGATTCATTAATAGAATCGATCGACGCGTTGTTGCAGATGATGACGCTGATAGCGGCGTGGAGTCCATTGATCTACGGCGGGTGCTTCGCGGCGACGCTCTCGTCCGCCATCGCCAGCCTGGTCGGGGCTCCAAGAGTCTTCCAGGCAAGTCTTCTCCGGCCGTCGTTCGAGTCTTCGTTCTTCGCCGCGTGCTCAGACTCCAGTTGCGTTGCAGGCTCTGGCCAAGGATAAGCTGTACCCGGGGATTTACTTCTTTTCCGTCGGGCACGGGGCCAACAACGATCCCATGAGGGGATACCTCGCCTGCTTCGTTCTTGCCGTCGCCTGCATCCTCGTCGGTACTGTCTCTCGTCGCTTGCCACCCGTTCGCACTCGGTCGTTTCCTTCCGCTCGTTCGAGGCTTGGCGTTGAGGCCCTTCGGGGCTACGAGTTCGATGGCTTTCTGTGACGTTCTTCGGTCCGTTTTCGCTCGTTCGTGCGCTACGACATAGATTTTCTTTTCAGCGAATTTGAACGCAGTTGCGGCTCTCCAAGTGAACTTCATGTTGGCGGCCTACGGGCTCATCAACTTCTCCGTCTTTCATGCTTCCACCACGAAATCTCCGGGCTGGAGACCTTCCTTCAAGGTGAGACGAACCCCGACGGGATCGAAAGGAGGTGGGGGTTCGTTTAGGGTGGGGGTCTGATGCCGTTTCTCGATGCAGTTCTACAATGCTTGGGTGAGTCTGTTGGGGACGCTGTTGTGCGTGGTGGTGATGTTCATGATCCAGTGGGAGGTGGCCCTCGCCACTTTCGGTGTCACCATGGCCCTTTACCTCTACGTCAGCTACAGGAAACCAGGTATGCCTTTTCGTTTGTTCTGTGCATCCTCTTCGAATTTTTTTAATTGGAACCTTCGATTATGTGCAGATGCGAACTGGGGCTCGAGCACGCAGGCTCAGGTGTACACGAAGGCGCTGAAAGGCGTGCACGATCTGAATAAAACGGCGGAGCACGTGAAGAACTACCGGCCGCAGCTGTTGGTTCTCTCGGGTCCGCCCAGTGCCCGTCCGCCGCTGCTGGATTTCGTTAATCTCATCACTAAGACCAGCTCGCTCCTGGTCGTTGGCAACATCGTAAAGGTAGGGGCCGTGGTGCTTGCTTTTTCGAGGCTCTGTGCATTTGATGTGGGCGTGACCCGGCACGGTTCGTTTTTCGAGCAGGGTCCGCTGAAGCACGCCGTCCGGAACAATATCCTTCGTCAAGGATACTCTTGGCTTTATAGGCACAAGATCAAGAGTTTCTACAACGTAGTAGAAGAAGATAACTTTGAATCTGGTGCCAAGGCTCTACTTCAATTGACGGGACTGGGGAAACTTCGTCCCAACATGCTCGTATTGGGGTACAAGACCGACTGGCAAAAAGTCGATCCCATCGACACTCTTCTGTACTTCAATGCCATCCAGTGAGTTGGTGGTTCGCATTCCAGAGGAGAGACTGTAGTGGAATATTTTTAATCATTGATGTCTGGCAGCGTTGCGTTCGATAATAACCTGGCCTTGGGAATCCTGAGAGTCCAGGAAGGACTGGATTATTCTGGAATCGTCGAGGAGGATCCCAAGCTCGTAGAGAAGACAGAGGTGCTTCTTAAACCCCTTGCAGGTTAAACCCTTTGTCAAGTGTCGGCTCCGTGAAAGTTCTATACATGTTATCCTGGATCAGTCGATGAGAGAGGGAATTCAAATGTGCAGAATCCGAGGGGAAGAACGAGAGCAAGATCGAGAACTGCCACGAAGCAGGATGCCGGAAAGAGAGCCACTTCTCCTCCGTGTTCGCTCAGAAGAGGAGGTTGTCGAGGAGGTTGTCGCAGTCGCACGTGTACCGCGGGCCGGGCGGGGCCGCGCTGCCCAAGTCGGTCTTGAGCAGCCTCACCCGATTCCAACAGAAGCAGAAGGGAGGCCGGATGGACGTGTGGTGGCTGTACGACGACGGGGGGCTCACGATCCTCCTCCCGTACATCTTGAACAAGAGGGCCCAGTTCTCCTCCGCCTCCCTCCGCATCTTTTCCCTCACTTCCACCAAGGGAGAGCTGGAGCACGAGCAGAGGAGGTCTCTCCCGCTCTTGCGTCTTTTCGATGTTCCGTCCGTCGGCGAGGTGAAGTTTCGTCTTCTCGTCGTTTCAGCATGGCGGCGCTGTTGAGCAAGTTCCGGATCGACTACAGCGACGTGGTCGTGATCCCGGACGTCCAGAAGAAGGCCGCCCGGGAAACCCGCCAGGAGTTCCGTGCCCTCGTCGAGCCCTTCATGGAGAAGGCGAACGAGAACCGAGCAGAAGGTATTTTTCTTCCCTGCATTCCGGCGAGCGAACGATTCGGTGAAGAGTTGCTAATCGCGACGAAACGTCCTCGTGCAGGTTCTTACATAAGCGAGACGGAGCTGACTGCGAACGAAGAGAGGAACAATCGGCACATGCGACTACGGGAACTCCTGCTGCACCACTCGCTCGACGCTGCTCTCATCGTCATGTGAGTCCTCGTCGCAGAATCGTACGGAATCGGCGGAGTTTTACTCGGAATGCAATCCTTTACAGGACGCTGCCGATGCCTCGGAAAGGGATAGTGTCCGCTCCTCTCTATATGGCCTGGTTGGAGACCCTGACCGAGGGCATGCCGCCGTTCCTTCTCGTCAGGGGGAATCAGACCTCCGTCATGACTTTCTATCATTGAGGGGTCGTCGACGTCTCGGCGGTGCCACGGGGATGTTCCTTCTCCGAAACTCTTCTCCGGCCTTAAATTTAGTGCTAGTGAAACCGGTTTTCCGACGAGAATTTTCTTCGGCGTTCGTTTCGTTTCCGGTGTCGTTCGTGTCACACTTCCGTCCCAGTGATCGAGGATGGGATGAAACCGATGCGAACCGCGTTCCGTGGTCGCGGTCGTCCTTCCAGTTCCAGATCGTACCTGATGCCTTTAACAGCATCGAGCTTCGCATTTCCTCTGTACCAGAGTGTTCTCGTATGGCTTCTGATCCTCGGGGGGAGCAGCAACGACGAAGGACTTCGATAGGAACTGTTGAGGCTGCAAGGGTCGGAATGCCACGCATTCCATGCCCGACACCGATGCGAACCTTACGGGTTCCCATGTACAAAAGCTGCTCAATCGTTCATTCCCCTTTGGGATGGATCAAATGGAGTTAAAGAAAATATCTTCCTTGTTTGAATTTTGCACCCGAAATCGTGACGGTGCGAGTATTTGCCCCCCCCCCCCCCCACCCCCCTGGTTTTTCCCCCCCCCCCCCCCACCCCACACACATGCCCCCCATTTGAGTTTCTGCCCCCCCCCCCCTTCCCCTTCGTCATGCTCACCTGTGCTCATTGTTGATGTCTTCCATATTTTCTAGATCACAGCATATAGAGACTCAGGAATGCCTTTGTTCTACGTCATGTTATTCCAGATGAAAATTTGATTGTTGTACTTTATGAATGACTCGAATGAATATATTTGGATATCATAACAGGGATTTAAAAAATCCAGGCCGGATGTTCAGGATTTATTGGTATATTTACGGAATGAAAAGTGAAGAAGGAACGGCGAGGGTTTGACCGAAGGTTTGACCTTTCGATTGGTTTCCACCTTTCTGCACGACGATGTTGCCATGATGTGTGCGTCGAGTGGGGATTCCGTGTCGATTGGGTGAATTTCGGATGCCAAGCCGAAAAGCTCTCGGTCTTGGGAATCCATATCGACAAAATCGAGACCAGTGGTTCCCAAGCTCGGGTCGCAAAGGGTGAATCGAGTATAATTACATATGTATGTATGTATATTTATATACATATTCAAATTGTATCATAAACCTGAGGGTCGGGGGGTCCTGTTGGAGGCCAATTTAGGGTCGCAGCAAAAAAAGGCTGGGAACCACTAAGATCCTAGACCACTTATTCAGAAAAAAAGAATCAGTGGTGTAGCCAGGGTCTCATTTTTGGGGAAAGGGAGCCATAGACATCATTAGGGGGGGGGGGGCCTTGCTTACTCCATGAAACCTGGAAAGTGATGAGTAACCTTTGCCACATCATGTATGTCCTCATGGTTGAGTTGAATTCGTACAAAGACATGGCGAAACTCAGCTTTTCATTCCCATTTTATTGTGTCTTTGCATCGAGTCTCGGGTGTACGAAGCCATTCACCTGTCGTTTTCGCAGGATGATTTTCCTGGTTTTCTTTCTGGAAATTTTCCTGAATTTCTGCTAAATTTGTTTATTCTTCTCTCGTTCGGACAAGTCAGATTGCTAAAAAAAAAAAAGGCTCGTGCAGTTTCTCGATTTACTCCGCCGTGATCGCACAGAATTGGCAATCTCTGCAGGATTGGCAATCGGTCGAGAGGCTGCTATTTTTCGCGTTGAAATTAGTCTGGAATTCGTTATTCGACTCTCGCGTTACAACGATCGGATGAAACTCCCCATCGAGTGGTGCGCTTAAGCACTAAAGTTAAGCATGTGGATTGTTGGAGGGGGGTTTCGAGAAAAAAGTTCTGGGATCAACATTGTTGTGTACTTCGTGCGTCGTCTGATGGGCGGAATCGCGGAAAAGACATCCGACTCGGTTCGAAGAAAAAAATCTCCAGAGATCGGCTGTCTTTAAGTGGCGAGCAGCAAAAGTGTGCTGCACGACCTTGGGCATGGCACGATCACGGCTCCGGATTCGTGCGGATTTTTTGCCCAAGGGCTCTACCACTGCAAGGTCTTGTAAGCTGTTCCGGCAGCCATTCGCAAAAAAAAAGGCTCTCTCGCGGAGTGCTCGCGAGAGAACGCTCGAGCGAACACGGCCGCAGAAACCGCGGCGAATCCGGCCGGTCTCGGCTGAGAGTCTCTCGCACACCCCGCCTTACGACCCCGATTTCGTTCCGAGCGATTTCCATCTGTTCCCAAAGCTGCGAAAGAGCGCGTGCAAAAATGGTTGAAACCCACCGACCCAAAGTGTCGACCATGGCGCCGACCGAAGCTTCACTGCCATTCCGATACAAATTAAAATCAAAATTAAACCACAAAAATTCGCACTGGATTGGGAGGGTGACAATGCCAAAAAGTCATTTTTTGCAACTGCAAGCAGAAGCCATCGAGCCAACGTCTCGCGGAGAAACCTCTGCCCTGACCCACCTTCGCCGCCCTCAAATCTCGTGATCGCCGTTGAAAATCTGCTGAAGCGGACCTGCATCCTTCCTCCAACCAAGCACCTGCATCCTTCCTTCCACCGAGAGAGAAACTTCCCGCCTCCTCCGCGATCCTCGGACCCTTGCGCAACTTCCACCTGTTCCGATTCCCACGGCGGCTCGCGCGGAAATCCTTCTCGATCCGCCTTGGGACTTTCGGAATTTCCCGACGATTCTCTCGGGCGGCACGCGACGTCGCGAGTGACGTCGCGAGTGACGTCGCGAGCATCGGCGTCGGGAAGCGAAAGGATGCGCGGGGTTCATCGCTGTGCGTTTCACCTTTTCCTTCGTCTTTTATTCATTTTTTTTCCTTTGACCTTTTCGTGTTTGATCTCCTCGATTATTCATGGAAACGAGCCTCGTTTCCCGAGCAAAATCTTCGTCGATGGAACTTCGCAGGCCGCTTTTGCGATATCGAGCCTCCGAGACTCAATCGATGGCCTCGCTCCTCGATCGATGCTCTCGCTCTCGGCAACAAGCCGAGAAACTTTTTTCCCGGCTGCAAGAATTTTTTCCCTTTTGTCGGCGATATTTCGTGCTCGACGAATCTCGAAATCGAAGAAGATTTCTCGAGGATGAAAACGTCATTGAATCTCGTCCCGCTCCGAGTTTTCCACCAATTAGGCCCAACGACGAGACGAAACGATACCCGGCCACAGCCTCTCCTTTCCCCGTAAACGCTCGTGGGCGTGGAATTCCCATCGCCCGCGTTATCGCACGACATACAGGATGCTGGATTTCGTGTGGATGTCCAACACGCTGGATATCGACCGATAACGGGCGCAATAGGAACAAATCCCACGTTATCGCAAACAGCGCCCACGAGGCCGAACAGGATGCGGAGCCGACTCTGGCCATGGGCTCTGCCTGCATCGACACTAGCGACATCTCTCTGTTATATTTTTGGACGAACTACGGCCGGAACGTCCCACTGAACTCTTCCGTCGCGCTGGGAAACGGGACGGACTCGTCTCGGGGCGACCAGAATGCGCCTCGTCGCATCCGCAGATGCCGCTCGTGGATCCTGCTGTGATTCTGGGGAGCGGGAAAGGGGAAACCGTGTCCTCGCACCCTCGTCTACTCCTGCTTCGAGGGCTCTATGGCACGGTCTCCATCGAGACCCGAATAGCCCGAGGGGAAAACGCGATGGTATGGGGCCAGGCCCGTACAGGCTTCTCTTCCCTTCTCCTTCCTCTCACTTCTCTCGTTCCCTGCGGGCCTTTCTGTTTGCTCCCCGCCCTCTCGTAGGCCACGGGCCTCAATCTCCAGCGGCCAGCCCATTCACGCAAGCTCGCCTCAGATTCACGCCATGTTCTGTGTACGGACGTTGTGGCTTTACTAAGGATATGCGTATCGCATGACCCCGGGGCTGCTCTGTTTTGCGAGTGAATTCCTAGGGGTCGGCCCACCACCGTTAACGTCGTGTTGTAGCAATCGGGCTCAGACGTTCATACGCTCTAGTGGCGTACGTGTAAGTGGTACGTTGATAATAGGCCTCGTGTAGTGGCCTTACGTTAGCCTTGGCCTAACTACTGTAGGTTAGTCCTAGAGTTTTGTCGGGATTTGAATAGACTAGGCCCCGTCTACGTGCGAAGCATGACTTTAGGTTTAGCCGGAGCACCCAACTGTGAAGCACACAGTCTATGATGGGCATATGCCCATAATTGGCAAGTCGTTAGCCCTCGGCTAGTCTCCGTTGGATCTAAGGCAAGAAGCCTCGGCACTGTTAGCAGTCAGGAGCTTACCCTAAGTTGTAGGCTACGCCCAGGTAATGCCAAATTCAAATTTAATTCCTCTTTTTCGCACAGGTTGCGCATCTAGTTAGGCCTTGGCCTACAGGCCTAACGGCCATTTGGGAAATGAATCCTGTTGTGGTGTGAGAAGTTATTTTCTTGCCACTTGGCATCGATTGTTATATACAAATGGAGCATAGACTTATGCTGTGAAAACTTTTCCTCAATGCATTTCATCAAGAGGATATGAATAGACCTCATGTTGTTTCAGGGTGAGTTTCAAAACTGCAGCATCTCAGTTGGATGGACATTGGTTGTGCTAATTTCCTCAGTCAGCTGGGAAGATATCAGAATAATGTGATGGCCTGTTTGTAAACTTAAATATATGGTCAGGTGACTGCCAGAATGTCTTTCTTGTCCATGTGCATGTTTAGCTTTCCAAGTTGAACAAAAATCGGGGTTAGGCCATGCCTGTCTGTTCGTGCCTGGACTACCTGCCATTGTTCTATTCATGTGCAAGTGTCAGGTATTGGGACAAAATATCTGGAAACTTGTCTGGATTGTAGTGTAATGGAAACAAACTGGCTGAGTAAATGAATGCAACTGTGAACTCTTGTGAAGTTCTATCCAGATCACCCAGTTTGGGTAGAGCTTGACAGTCAATTGCTTGGCATATTTATAGAAACTTGGCTCTAAATTAGCATAATTTAGTAGTGCAGTGGTTATCATTGAATAAGTAAGCATTTGCTCCTGTTCAAAGGGTGACCACAACAATAGGTCTATTGCCAGCCAAACATGGGAGAATAATAGAAAATAATGCAAGAAAGTCCAGCTTAGCTAACTAATTTTTTAATTTTGAAGCTGGGTTTAACCCACTTTGTCTTATCATCCTATTTATTGGACAGCATTTTTGGAAATTTTTTACTGCTATATGTAATATGTAGTAGTAAAATGAATATCTTTGCTGCAAAGCAGAGCTCTTCCTTATTCTACTAGAATTTTTTCATACAATTGTGTATAATATATATGGCTAAATGTGATTAAATTTATGTCCTGCAATCCAATGAAGGTTTTTAGAAATTCTGCTGAAAAAAAGTTGGGACTTGATGGAGCTTGCATGTTTATTTAACAAATGCAATCAGGCATTGTATGCATTTGCTCATACAAACACACCCTCTGCAACAACATCTTGTGCCTAGAGGCAGAGGGGATTGCATACTGCTGTTCCCCTGCTTCATTCTTGCATGACCATTCAGTTTGGCCACACTTCTGTGTAATTCTTTGAGTTTTTTGTCTGGGAGGTGGGGGAGGAATGAGACTCATTTCTATTGAAGTCTGTCATCAGTTTTGGAAGTCTCTTTGGTTGATAAAAGGAAACCCTTTTAGTTCCATAGACTTTACTGGTGGATAAAGGTTGTATTTGTCATAAGCATTTTCTTTTTTGCATCTTCTTGAGTATACTTTTTGAAGAAGATATGATGCTTCTACACCTACAAAGCATTGCCTCATTTTGCAAGAATAAGGCAACTACAGATCCAAACTTTGCCTTTTTTTTTACTACAAATCGCAAGTTTGATGAACTTTCATTTTTGATAAATATCATGTGGTTTTGAATTTGTTTTAAAATAAATGTTAAAAAACAAAACTCCCATTGCCATGCACATCATCTTTGATCCTCCTCCTACTTCTTTTTCAATGTTTCCTATGATTAATATCCCATCTCGGGTATCACTTGCAAAAGTGTGCTCAATTGGAGTCTTGCTATTGAACCGGGCTTTGCCAAGGTAAGTTTGTTACATTGAGACTTGGCTGTGGCCTATCTCTTTCTGGAGACCATGAATTCCTTCTAAGGTTCTAAATTTTAGTTTTTTTTATCATGTGTTTAAACAAAATATTGCGAAAGTTCTTTGTTTTTATTCAAAGCCTTGCTCGAAATGAAATATGGCCCATTCAGAGGAAATTGAGGCATTAAGTTTTAAAATGCAATTCAATATCAGCTGACAATGTTCTCTTAGTAATACAAATGTAATGACCATCTGGCCATAAACAATGCTAAAGCTGTAATCTTAACTGAAGACTAAGTCTAGGACGTAAGAATCTTTTAGAGTTTTCCTTGAAGCTTTTAATTCCTCAGTAACCATTTCTGTTAAGTCCCTTTGTGTTGATATTCTAGGAAAATGTGGAGATTGGTCAGGTTGGGGGGAGGAGGGGTTTGGGTTTGGTTTAGTTCAGTTCAGGAACTGCAGGCTTGCAGGTCATGATTAGTGCTTTTGTGTATTTGTACCAACCTCTGGCATTTTGGCACCGTTGCATCTCTATCAACAAAGGAGTTCTTGAGAGCTCCCATGCTGCATACAATTCATCTCAGCAGGTGACTTAGTAAAGCAGTACAAATGGGGAAGTTTCTCAGCGAATTCACTTGACTCTTGAGCTTATGGAGGTGCTGAGCCGTTTTTTAAAATGACTATGTGCATCCAGCTGAAGGAATAAGAGGGCAGTGGGAAGTGAGCAAGATCTAAAAAAGGGTCAGATTGAGCTGCAGAGTTGAGAAAACTCCCTTTTCGACTGTTCTGACGAGGGAGCACCTTCCCATTGATCGGGTTGAACGTGTCAGCGCGAGTGATTTGTGATGACTTTGCTCAGATTAATGATATGAAGCATCAGAAGGAATGACCCACCTTTTAATGAGCCAGGTTTGCTCACACTCGAGAGGAGATAGGAGACCACGCCTTTTGTGGGTGTTGCAGTAGAGATGGGGATGGCTGATGGCTGTTTTCCATCTGAGATGCAGGTGGTTTGTGAGTTCAGTGGCTCTCTGGGGATTCATCTGGTCTTTCACTCTGAATCCCATGAAATTTACAAGCGTTCTACCGATGGGACTTGTATGGTACATGGAAGATAGGAGCTTGGTGTTCCTGATATATATAATTTATGGTTCCACTGTGGCACCTTGACATACTAATCTTATCTCTCGTGCAGCCAAATGGCTGGGATCATTAATGCATTGCGGCATATGTATCGGCAGACTGAGAGCCCAACCAATTACTCTACCTGATACCTGTTCAAAACAAAAACAAAATCGTGGACAAATGGATTTCCATGGTTATGATGAGCAACAATGGCATGGTGCATAAGATAGTATTACCATATATTTCTAATAGCACCAATGGCCTATTGATTCAGCTAACAAACGTTTACAACCATGTTTTGCTAGGCGACAACATCTAGAAAGTGCATTCTTGGGATTCTCAACAAAAACGCGCAAATGAGCTGCCTGAAGATGGGGAAACCTGTTTCGTTTATGTCGTATCGATATTGCCGTAAGCTACAGACCTGAAGCTGGGGAATTCCTGCGTTTTTACCGGTTTTTGAAAGAGTTGTGCTCGGTTTTTTTTTTGTTGACAACCAGTAAATTCCTGCGCTATCTCATTAGTCTCGGCTGCGAAAGTCGAATGCCTTTCACTGCTGCCAAATTCTGGATCTGCGCGGAACGGAATTGGCGAAAGGAGGAATAACTGATGCGAGAAACAGGGAAGGCGTTAATTCGAAATGGCGCCGAACTTGACTTTAATGAGCAGACAATGATAAAACTTTCCTTCCATATTCGAAATAAAAGCGGGCTGGATCTATGCTTCCCGTGCGGCAGATTGACTTTCACTAGTTAAATATAATTCGACGTATTCCATCATTTATTGAAAACCTGTGCGAGAGCTTATGCTGTGCTCCTTCGATGCTCTCACTGTCGAGAGCAAATCTCGACTTGTTACATGCATGCGGTGAGTAATAAAAAAAAGCGGGGTGAAAAATTAATATAATAGGAAAACCATTGGCATGGTGGTAAACCATCGCGTTTCCCCTGAAATCAACACACTCGAGGAACTGAACCGTCGAATCATCGAAGCATGGGGCGAAGTTCCTCAGGATGTGATTGACGGTGCGTATGATTCGGGAAGGCGAGGACGCCGTGCGTTCGAGCAGATGGCTGTCGTTTCCAACCGCTTTTTGTGCAGACGTACTGCTAACTTGCTTCTAACTTACTGCCAAACTCGCCCTCACGAAAGTTTGCAGGTGCGTGCAAGGTTCATTTCACTTGTGAGAAACGGCTTCGATTTGATACGAACGGTTTTTCTGTGTATGCTTTTCACTGCTCGTTTGTGGTTCAGTGGGTTCATCGTGTGTATGAATACAACCCATATTTGATTGTCTGCCGTAGGCTCGGGTTTCTCCTCGCCCGATCCGAGTCGTGCAGGCCCGACGCACCCCCATCATCGATCCGATAAATGGCCGTTCGAGGTTTCAATCGGTTCCCAGCGGCGCAACCAGACGAGTCGGGGCGGGAGGGAGGTTTTATTGACTCGGGAAATATGTTTGCTGCAATCATAGGAGAAGCACTTATCCCGTGTGCTCGGATCTCGAGTCTTTCGTCGGTTTTTGGGCTCTTGGAAGACTTTTTCCCTTTGAGAGTCGTTTTAATGCTGTCGGAAGGAACGCTCGTAAAACTTATGGAATATTTGGAATGTGATGAGTCTCTGATCGTTCGGCTGGTACAAGGGTTTCGTGTGTGGAGACTGGGGTGAATGCCGATGACGATACGCAATTATTGCCGAAAATCGTTCGACATTAATATTGCTGTTGGGAATTCCGACGGCTTGTCTCATTTGACAGACACGGGACGGAATTCGATTAGGAGCCCGTGAATGCTTTCTCTTTCGCTCGATAGGTAATAGTAGTAGCTAACAATAGGATAGTGCGACCATTCGCCCTACAAACAGGCCAACAGTATGCTATCGGAGGCCGGCATTACACGTTAGGATTTTAAACATGTACAAACGTTACAGGTTTTGAAACCTTGAGCGAAGGGTCCTCTAAAAATCTCGGAGGGAAAATAAAAAGAGCTCGCTAACTTAAAGGCCCTTTTTGGCTCTACTAAATGAGGATTCGGCAATCGAGCCTTGGATTTTTGAAGTGTTGTCAAAACGTGGCGAGAATTCGCTGTCGACACCAATAATGCGGACTCGGCAAGGCTCTGTGCAGAAGAGTGTCAAGGTCGATGCTATTTAAACACTCCCAGCCCCCTTGTTTATATTGGAAAATACCGCTGATTCCACATTGTCGGGCATGAGGGTATCCGGCGCGATTCCGTAGTGAACGACGGTTTCCGGAAGAAAAAAAAAAAGTCCCACTCAAAAGCAACCATATTTCATTGAATTCGAGAGACGAACGATAACAGAGTCGGCTCCGCGATAATGAGCATCTATTGAGGCAGGTAGTTCCTCGGAAACCCTTGCGTCTCGGATTCTTGCCAGTCCCCGAGATATAGGGCGAATTCCAAAACCCTCATTTGCTAGACTCGTCTTTCCGGTTGATGCATTCCGCATGGGAAAGTCGGGCGAGTGAAACCGACCCACCTTTCCTTCTGCAACGTAAACATAACCCCAAAAGAACCAGTCCGACTTGGGGGAGCGGTGAATGAATGAATGTTTTCGTCGCATAAGAGAACGAGGGCGGTCCTTTGAAAAACGCAATCACGCATCCCCGTTAACGAGATTCACGGGAGCCGCGCGGCAGGACGGGGGAGCAAATGCGATTCCGAGGAAGCCGTGGAATCACCTGAGATATGAATGCGTGGGCACGTGAAGCCTCTCACCTCCACGAAGGTTTTCATGAAGGGAGTCGCATCGCATGACGTCCCTGCATCCTCCCGTTGCCATGGCGACGGCTCTCTCCGCATCCCGACCCGTCGACACGGAGACCTCGAACGAACCCTCCCATATGCCGTTAGGAAGTCCGGGCCGGGCGTGCGTGGAGTGAAAGTGGGGAAGGGCGACGGTCGTGCGTGAGTGAGGGGGAGAAGGGAAGTGCACGGGTTGCTCAATCTTCGATAGACGGAGAAGTGAGGTAATTTTGTAACGCAGACGGGCTCGGGTGCGATCGAGAGGGCCATGTCTGAAGACGGAGGTGCGAGGAAACGATCTCGTGGCCTCTTTTTCATGCGAAAAGGAAGTGTGCACGAGTTGATGCAAGGAAATGAGAGGAAAGTCACTCTCTGGTGAGATAAAAAGCTCCTTTTACCCCCCTTCCCCCCCCCGCAAAATTAATTTGACCCCGTTCGGCTTTTGCGTGTTTTGATTTACCTCGTTTCTTCGAGATTGTGTCGAGGTGGAAAGTAATGAAAAATTCAGCGTATCGGCGGTAACGATAAGAACGGCCTTGGGGGAAACAATGGTGTTCGATCAGTGCTGCAGTACTCCCTGGATCGCCTTCGAAATGCAACTTTTTCCGATCCTTTTGTCGGCAGCGTTCGATTTATCGATAGAATCTACAAGCCAGCGATCTGAAATCACCGTCATTAAGTTACGAGTCCCCCGGGAAGGAAGCTAATTAAATCCATGGCCTGCTGGAATCTCATTACGTTCCTTAAGCGTCTCGGGAAGGAATCGCAGGTAATTGATCAGTTACTGCAATATCCCTTCATTGCACATTATAGGCCTAGACACAGAATAGCTGGATGCAAATTAAAATGAATGAAAACTTGTACCTTCAAGGCGGCTTTAAGATCAGCTCTACTGGCAAAGGGTTGAATTCCATCAGATGGAATGAATGCAGTGCAGAATTTTGAGGGGGGGGGAGGGGGAGGATTTAATTACCTTCCCTATTGTTGGTAGCAGGTTTCATATAAATCTCAAGACGAATCCGTGGAGCATGTCACCCGATTACAGGCAAGGTTGAAGCTGGCAGGTTGAAGAATACGGGTGAAAAAGAATTTTTTCGTTGCTCTGAGACTTTCGTGAAGTTGATAAATGCATTCTGCAAATTTCTTTATTTAAAATTTTCTTTGCTTTGATCCTGGTAACTTGTTTTTTTAGAGTCTGTTCCAGCTGGAGATGGAAAACACGCTGTTTACATTACACCCTCAATCTCATTTCTTTCAAGCACTTTAAGTCATTTTGAAAATTTTCAAACTTTTTCAGATCTTTGTATGCTGCTCCCTTTGAAGATCTGGTAGGCATGAATAATCCTGTGTCAGGCATGTGAAGAAGGTAGCGCGTTGCTCATTTGTTAGACCTGATAAACATCAAAGTATCATGCATATGGTAAGAAGGTAGGCATAATTACACAAGCATTCTAGGCACGTTCATCTTGAGCCCAGCTCCCACATAGACGCACTCCTCTTTTGTTGTAGCATTGTATAGCGTATTGTATTCACTATCGGATCCACTTCCAATCGTGCACTAGATTTGAAAATCTTCCAAAGGGAATCCTGTTATTCTCCATCCTGAAACAGTTAACATAACAGCAGTTGATTCATGGCAGAGATGAGCCTTTTGGGGTACTGAGTCTTTTAGGCTTCTCCATAATATTTATCTTAATTGAAAGGAGAGACAATGCAGTTTTACCAATGGTAGGAGCTCACTTCTGTTCTGTTGTGAAAAGTGCCTGTATGTGGTATTGAGAACAGTGACTATCATGTCAAGCTAAATAATTCATCCTGCAGATGTTGCCAGGCAACGGTGGTGAATTGGGACTGAGGCTAAAAATGTGCAATGTATGGTCTCTTGCTTCTCTAAGTTCTATTAATCTGAAATTGATGTTTCTCCTCCTGAATGTAGCTTTGGGAGGAAACCTAATGAACAAGGGAGGAGGTCTAGTGAATGCTTCAGCCTCTCACAACCTGAAATGATAATGGTGAGTTACAAATTTATTTTATTTTTTTTATATCTGAAAGGAGAGACTAACCTGCTATATTTGTAAATGATTGTCCAGGTTGGCTAAAGAACATGAATGAACCCTATAGCTACTGTCAGATCCTTCAGGTACAACAGATACCAGCCTTATATGCCAGTTATGCTTGTTTAAATGTAATAGAAATTATGAAATGCAGTACTCTATTGAGAAATATGCCCTTGGGCTTCTTTTGTATAGAACCATGCTGAGCATGACAAATGTGAAATGGAGGCATGCAGTCAGAGTGGGTTCTACTCCTTGATAGAGATTGCTTCTGTTGTCATCGTTGTCTCCATGTTCTTAATGCTTTTCATTTGGTTCATATGGATCTTCCCTTTGTTGTTCCTTCCATTTACTGGAATCTGTTGCATTGAATTTGCAGAAGTAGCCATGGAATTTTCAAAATTACACTCAATTTGCAGAAGTAGTTATAATCTAAAATGCAATTGGTATATATTGGTAGCAGTCCTTGCATATGTTATGCTGTGTTAGCATCAAACCAGGTAAAGTGACATGACACCTTCCCAAATTTGATCTTATTCAGGAGAAAATTGAATCCTTTTAGAGATGAGGGAAGCAGGGAGGCACTCAAAAAGCAGGTGAAGATCTAGTTAGCCATTTATGCCACTCCAGCTTTCTCTGCACTCACAGCAAATTTGAAATCATACACCTACCAAAGAACTGACTTAACTAACAGAACTGACTGGCAATATTAAAAGCAACTTTAAGGTGGGAAAAAAAGGATTTATCCAGAACCTTAACAGAACATCCAGAACCATAGAAGAAAATGAAGAAAAGCATGAATGTCTATTAAGCTCAATAGAAAGGGATAAAATGTCCCTTTTTTTCTAAACTGTTAATTATGTGGTTACATCATTTTGTTAATTATGTGGTTATACCATTAGATCCACCACTGTGCCAAGTTTCAATGCTAAAGCTCATGTAGTTTCTGAGAATTTTGGTCCACATATGAATGCATCTAAAGGGATGAAGTACTTCTTGCTATCATTTAGTCAAAGTATGGTATGAAGAGAGTAACAGTATGTTGCTCAGATCACAAGGAGTTTAGCAATATATGTTGTCCACTAGAAACATGATGAAAGTTTACCCCTTTTAATGAATGAGGGTGAAAAGGACTGCTTGCAAGCATGTCAAATGATAACTTGGGAGATATCATTTGACAGAAAGTGTACATATCACCCATTATCTCGAGTTGTTGGGCCTCAATCCTTATCTCCTTTTAGAGGTTAGGTTCACTTCAGACCTTATTCTTAATCATCCTTCATTACTTCATTTTGGAGGTTTCAGCATTTCATGGTTGGAGCAAATATATTGTAGGTGCTATGTCTTATCTCACCCCTACTGTTATAGGAGATGAATTTCATAATATGGGACTATGCTTGTGGATTACACTACAATTAGTTTATTACTCCTGATGTTGGAATTCCTGGAAGTGCCGATGCATTTATCTGTCAGTTATCAGTACTCTTATCTTTATTGCCAGTTATGTCATGCAGCTGTGCATCGTGTGAGCTTCTCTTTAGAGTCACTTTGAAAGTGATCCATCCTGCCACCATTGTGGTAGTGTGTATTAGTGTTCAATATGTTGAAGTATCAAGTTACTGTCACAGAAGGGAAATGGTCTGGTCAGTTGAATTTATTGAGGCGGAAGCTGTCTCGAAAAAGGAGTTTGGGGAATATTCTGAGGCACAGACTGACTCGAAGACACAGTGTGTCAACTATACCCATAACTTATGAGCACCAATGGGTGGGTGTTTTTCTCATCAATATATTTCATCATAGTTTATTTATTCATATTTCACATACTGTTAATTTTAGCATTTTTTAATTTTGTGCTTCATCCATAGGAAACCTGGAAGTGTAGTTTCACCCTGTATAGAAGGTATATTTCAAAATTGCTGAATCTTTGAGGAGTAGAGTAGTGAATTTGTTGATAGTTTTATCGGCTTGCACTCAGGTATGAGGGTTTCATTTTGAAATGTTATGCCAGATTCATTGGTAACTTTTCATTACTTTTCCTTTTGAAATTTTTTCCCAATTTGAATTATTGAGTATGGATACTGAGTGACATGAATTGATTGATAAGTGAAAGGCAGGGCTGTGCAAGCAGAGGAAGCTCCCATAAATTAGCATGTTGACTGCCAAGGTAGTTCTGTTAATTCTTTTCTTTGGTGCCTTGTGACACACAGGTGGGTCCTGGTTTTAGTTTTATGGGTTTTTTTTTCTATGGTACAAAACATGCTTGGTGATTTGCCATTGTGTCATGTGGTGGTCAATGTGTTAATGGATGGCTGAATTGTCTGCTTCTTGAGTTCTTTCTCACCTCATTGCTAAAATAATGCAATCCCTTAGCCTCCTAGAAGGCTGGGCCCAAGATCTTATTTCACTATATGGCTTGTTTTTTTTTCAAGTTGAATATGTGATTCCTTTACTGTCTATGTTGTTGCAAGCAAAATGCCAAAGCCCAAGAAGCCATGAAACATCATTTTTCTTCTTGTCTAATGACATTGCATTATTTCTCTTTATTCTTAACATGATCTAAAAGAAGACTTTTGTGTGTGGCTTGAGGGATTATGTTGGCAGAGGTGAGCTTTGACTTGAACGAAGTTTAGTGGCTACTAACAACTACTACCAACTGATAACTAAATTACTTGACTGAGGTCAATGCCAAATATGGATTTTTCTGGTAATAAATCTATTCTTGTGATTTCAAATGTGTAACAATGTTATAGAAAAACCAAATGACATGTGGTGCCAGAGTGTGAAGTCTGGAATAATCAGCTTGTATTGAGAACTTCTCAATTTTGAACCATTATATAGTTACTAGATATATAGCCTTTAAAGGAATGTATTTCATGGCACTGCCATACTTCAACAGGCTTGTTCTTCCCACAATGATGGACAAAGTGTACATGAAAATTCAATTTAATTAGGTGTAAAATTATCAAGGATTGGTATGTTTTATAGATCGACCGTCCAGAGGTGGCTGGGTTCTTACCCACGACAGACCATCAGTCAGTGAATTCCATGAACTTGGAACGTCTCCTGGCTTTAGAGGGGGAAGAGGTTGCCTTGCCCCCTGTAGGAGAAGCCATTGCCCCATCAAGGAGGAGACTTCCTTCAACTGATCATTGCGAACAGGTGACCAAAGTGAATCAATTTCTGATAATTGTAAAGAAGCAACTTCCCAGCAGTTATTGGAACATTTTGTATTTGCTCTTGTGTATGGAGATGGCTCTGCCATTCAGTATTGAAGGCAATTTAGACAAACATTTTTCCTTGAAAGCAAACCAAAACCTTTTATTTTTTTAAATTATCCATGGATTACTGCAATGAAATATATGCTGAATGGACCCCCCCATTGCCTGGATAATGATTAATGTCTGGAAGTACCTTCATAGATTCTGTATACTGGTACACTAAGTGACCTGTAATTGAGCACCAGTGGCATATCTAGGGGGAGGCAGAGGGAAACTGTCCCTCCCCCCCATGGCCAAATTTTGAATCTTTTTAAATGGAAAAAAATTACACAAATATATTTTTTGGTTGCAGTCATATGGTTCTCCAGGTTTTACCACTGATGAAAATGAAAAAGGCTATTGATGGCAGGTGGTAGTTGGTGGTGGGTGGTGGGGAGATACTAGGAAAGTGGCCTCCTCTATACTGGTTGAGCACAGATCCCTTCCAGCTGTGAAATATTTTTCTCATATTACATTCTCATATGTCTCTGAAGAGGGACTTGCGAGATAAGAAAAGGAATAGTTACTCAGAAGGCTTAATTCAATGCCTGTTACTTGTTGCTAATGATTCAGATGACATTGATTTATGGTTGATTGATTTCTAAAGCTGCAAATCATTACTAATGGATCATGTCTAGAGTGTTTCCCTTCTTGCCTTTGCAGTACATTCCTGACACATATCGCTTGGCAGAGGACCACAATGTCTCCCATGTTCCCATTTTTCATGGGATACGCTGTGCTGAATCTGACACTAGCTCAGCCTATAGTGGATCTGACACCATGGCTTCGGCCCAGTCTTCCGGGGATACCGATGAAGTGGATCTCACGGGTCTTGTGGAAGGCAATGTTGACAGTGATGAAGAAGAGGATCTTGTTGAAAGCATGGAGGTATTATGAGTTCTATGAATAATGTCTCATTATAATCATGTATTTGAAATGAAAATTCAGAGTCCAGTTCAACATGGTGATTTTACATGAAGACATATTGATACAAAGATTTTATTTTATTTTTTCCCTAGAGCCTTGCTGTTCGGGATGCTGTACGAGAGTGCCTTGAAAAGGATCCTGCAGACCGTACTGAGGATGACATTGAAGTTTTGTTGGAATTTACGCAACAACTCAGGGCTTTCTCCAACATGACCTTAGCAGTCCGAAGAGCCCTTTGCACTGTGATGGTGGGAGTCTAATTTTCTCTTCATATATTTCCAGAAAATAAAATTAATGTGATGAAGTCTTTCCTCAGAAAGTTCCATACTGCAGCTAAATGGAGTGATTTTTTTTTTATTTAAAAAATTTGTGGACATTGTATGAATGACTGAAGTATCCTGAATACAGCAGAATGAATTCGTAATATCAACTGTTATCTTGATATTACAGGTATTTGCAGTGGTGGAGAAGGCAGGTACCATTGTCATGAATGATGGTGAAGAATTGGATAGCTGGAGTGTCATTGTGAATGGGTCAGTGGAAGTAGTGCATGAGGGAACAAAGTATGAACTTCATCTTGGTGACAGGTAAGGAATGCTGCCCTCAATGTTGGATATGACATGGTGAATTATTTCTCAAATTAGGTTCGAGCATGTAGAAAGATGTTTCTTCAAACCCATTAGTCATGGCTATGGCTAGCTTGGTTGTGATTGAAGGAATGTGAGTTGAAGGAAACCTTGATTGTCTCCACAGTTTTGGAATCACACCTACCATGGAGAAAATGCATCACAAAGGAGTGATGCGAACCAAAGTGGATGACTGCCAGTTTGTCTGCATTGCCCAGATCCATTATTATCGCATTCTTCATCAAGGGGAGGAGAACATTGTGAGGCATGAGGAGGGGGGACAAGTTGTTCTTGTGACAGAGCAGAGACTTGTTGATGGTGGAAGTCGCTCAGGTCACATTGTGATCAAGGTGGGAACAGGCTGTGATTACTGATTTTTTAATATAATTTTGATTTGATTTTTGAGTTACTCTTGAGATTACTAATAGTCTGTGCAAAATACCAGAGATGGAAATAAATTAGTTTTAGAGCTCCTTGCAGTACTCCAAATGTTTCCAGTGCTGGACTTGGGGCTCCTAGAAAATGTCAAACCCCTTTACCCCCTTAATCAAGTGGTTTTCATTGACTGAGCTACATATTAATCAGCCAATAGTAGCCACTTTATATGAATGATAAAAGCAACAATCACTGAAGGAAATGATAGTGAGAACTGGATACTGGAAACAGAAGCACAGGGACACTTACAACTGGTCAGTATATTGGAAAAAGGGTGGGGAGTGAGTGGATACTAGAGTTGAGGATGCTATTTTTGCCTAGCACCATCTCCATTTTTCTATTTTTTATTTTTGACACCTTCCAAGATCTAGCATTGAAAAATTAATTCATCACTCATCAGATGCAGATTTCAGTCATGAGAATTTTTTGGTACTAAGATTCAATTAATAACATTTTAAAATTTGATTGTAGTTTAATTTATTAGTAAATTAATTAATGATATCAAGTTCATAGCCCTTTTTTTAAATAATGGTATAACCAGTAGGTGTCTTGTTTTTCTCCCAGGGAACACCAGAGCGGCTCATGTTGCAACTGATGGAAGACAACTCTGTTATAGACCCTACATTTGTGGAAGACTTTCTTTTGATGCATCGGGTCTTCATAGATTCTCATATCACAGTTGCCAATCAGTTGCTTGACTGGTGAGTTGTTGACACTGGTTTTTATTCCTGACATTTTTGTAATTTTATGCCTCAATGCATTCTCAAAAACATCTCATCATTGGGTCAGAGTTTCTTGGTTGATTATTCAATGTCACATACTTAATTTCCTCCAACCAGTCACCCCACCCCACCCTACTTCAGAACCTAGGCATGTGCTGAATGTGCTTAGGCTTAAGCTATGAATCCTGGAGGATTTACTTTATCGCCAGAAATATGTGAAGTATCAAGAAATCCCAGAAAATACTGTCTTTTTCAGAAAAAGTTCATTGCTGACTTGTAGGTCATTCATTGAAGCCTTGAGTAAGTCTTAAGACACAAATGTTGATATGATGGTGTTCAATAAATGCTATAGAATGAAAGGAAGGTTAAAAAAATTATTTCAGCTGCTGAGACCAGTGCTCTCAATTATTTCTTTGTAAATTGCTTGAAAATAGCTTCAGGCCAGTCATAGACAGCTGAAGTTGAAGACAATTTGATTTGGCAGGTTGATGTTCTGAATCTTAATCTACTTTAAATTTTCAGGATTCTTTGATTAGGTACTTGAAATGTCAATGCTGAGTGGAAAGCCAAAGTTTTAATGCCTCAATCATAAGTGTTTGACCTGATATCTTATTTACAGGTTCAGGAATCCATCTTTGCGAGATAAGGTGACACGGGTGGTGCTTCTTTGGGTGAATAATCACTTCACCGACTTTGAAATGGATCCAAGGATGATGGAATTCTTGGAGACTTTTGAGTTGGGTCTGGAACAAGAGAAAATGCACGGTCAGCTCAGACTACTGAACATTGCATGTGCTGCCAAAGCACGTACTCGGACAGTCACTCTTGCAAGACCCAAACGAGATGATGTTCTTCACTTCTCTATACTGGGAGGCTATGAACGAGGAGCAGGCATTTTCATTTCAAAAGTAAGTTTGTTATTTGATCTCATAATTCAATGGACCTGCAGGTGATTCTGTGCAGTCCCAGAACATTTTCCAAATTTGGGTTTCACAAAGGCTGCGGTGCAGAGAAATTTGTGGCACCCATGTGAAAGCACTAAGTTCTGGTGAAATTTGAAAATAAGTATTAAAAAAACTTTCCTTGAGCATGGGGGTATTTTGTTTCCATGAAAATTTGTTATAAATGTAAAAATTTATTAGAAAATTTAGTATCAAATTATTTTTTTTTAATTGTGAAGTCACTTATGGTTCACCCTATATTTTTATTCCATTGCCTTGATACTCAAGAATTTCTTTTATAGGTGGAAAAAGGATCAAAAGCTGAAGACATTGGATTGAAACGTGGTGATCAGATCATTGAAGTGAATGGTCAGAGTTTTGTACACATGAGTCATGCCAAGGCTCTGGAAATCCTTCGTTCGACAACTCATCTGTCAATCACTGTCAAGTCCAATCTCCTAGGTGAGTGATTCTTCAATGGAGATGACATGTTTTAGTGCTTTCTGTTATGAGTATCATCTCTGGTTCCTTTGCTGGTTTGTGAGATGTACTGCATGTGATGCTGAAAATGTCATGCCACTGAACTGGAATTCAGGTAGCATTAACCAATATTACTAATAGCATTAATGATTGATGTGTAAATTTGAACAACTCCTTTGATATTGTAGTTTGGCCAACTCCACAATAAGGTTTTCTTTTTTCTTTTAGCTTTTAAGGAAATGCTTCAAACCCCTGATCGGTCTCCAGTACCTCGATCCCGGTCACAGGGGCGACACAAGTCCAGAGAAATTCACCCACCCCCTCCACCTCTTCAGTGCATTTCTACAACAGTGGACATCATGAAGCATAGGAACTTGACCCAGGGAACTGCACTCTTTGATTCCCTGACTGGGGTCACCTCATCCCCAAACAGGGACAGTGGCGTTAGCTGTAGCAATGGAAGTGCAAGTGGGAGTAGCAGTGGGAAATCTCAGGGGAATAAAGGATTCATGACCTTGGGGCACAAGAACCGCTTTCGAAAGGCCATTCTCAACTTCATCCCCAAAAACTTCATGAGGTGTGTTTATGCTTCCTAGTCAGGGACCCTGTCATGGGCTCTTCTATTATCCTAAATTATTGTTCATGTGCATGTAAATTATTATTTACATGCACTAATATGAAGAGTTGCACACTGCTTATCTGTCCTATATGGATTCAAACCAGTTCAGGGAGAGATTTTATGGCATATGTGGACCAAATTTATGGAAATTTACTTAATTCATTCAAAATATTCAGAAATGAATTTATATTGAATGGTTCCTACTTATGTACATCTGTTTTTTTAATAGTCATGATGCTGGGACAGTCACAGGAGGGAGTTCAGATGATTCCCTCTATCCGCCAAGCCTCACCTCTTCGGGTCAAGGCAGTCTGTATCACAGTCGCTCCAATCCTGACCTTTCATCTCTCTGCTTGGAGGATTCTCAATCATCAACTGACCAGGGAAATACCCTTCCCAGACCTGACTTCCCTGAGCATGTCCTCAAGGTCTTCAGGAGTGACCAAACCTGCAAATACCTCCTCATTCACAAGGTGAGCCCATAGGCTTTTGAGAGTGGATTTGAAAGTGATCATGACTAAACTTGGTAGAATTTGTTGCAATTCTGAAGGGTTCCACCTATAAGCAATTGACACTTGGACATAGCACCAGATCAACAGGAATAGGAATGTGTCACCCTCCATATTTGTTGCCATCTCATTTGATAGACTAGGTATCCCACAGAGCATACTTATGCTTTTTCACAATTGTAGTTTTCCTTTATGAATTGGTTCAATGAATACTGAGAATTACTTGCAGATTGGAATTTATTGGATTCTATGACAAAAGACTGTTATTCTTTTTGGCTCATGAATTCAGGAAACAACAGCTCGGGAGGTGGTGATGCTAACCCTGAGAGAGTTTGGCATCACAGACCCAAGTTCTGACTATAGCCTATGTGAGGTGACTGTGGCTGAAGGAGGCATCATCAAACAGCGGAGACTGCCTGATCAGCTCCAGAATCTTGCAGAGCGCATGGGTCTCAGTTCCAGGTTATTCAGTTTCCTTGCATATGTAAAATGATGAAAGGTTCTTTATTCTGTACATGGACACTCTTGCATTAGTCACCTGATGGGAATTTTTAAGAAGCTTTGTTTGGATTGAGACTATGAAGCTAATTTTTAGACTGTCTCAATTGACTCTAGCTGTTTGTCTAATGAGCACCAATAGAGCTAGACATATGTATTGTATATTGATTCAATGAAAAAAGAGCTTTCAAATTGTGTGGAAGTCATGTTTATGGCATTGAATTACAATTATTGAATGAGAAAAGAATGAGCTATTCAAGCTCATTGGAGTTAAAAATAATAAAAAAATTTTTGTAGTGCGCAATTAAACTCAATCTAATGCATTTTGCATTTTAAATATAAATAACTTTGTTTTAAATTATGAATGAAACTAACATATCTCTTATTGAATTTATGAGCAGGTATTATCTGAAGAACAATCTGGTGACAGAGCCACTAGTACCCGATGACATGGCAGGTGAGCTCTTAAGGGAGAGCACAGTGCATTTATTGGGGCTGCGCCCTGTGGAAGTTGCTACTCAGCTGACGCTGCAAGACTTCTCCATTTTCCGCCAAATTGAAGCAACAGAGTATGTGGATGACCTCTTCAACCTTGCAAGTCCTTATGGAACCCCAATGCTCAGCCAGTTTTCAGAAGTGAGTCTTTGATGCCTGTCAGCATCTTCCTCTATCTCCCCCTTTCTTGATTTGAAATGTTCAGTAACATTTGAGAGCATATTGAGACTTCATCCTGGCTTGATGGTTCCAGAATCATTTTCATGGGTTTATTTTTCTTATGAAGAAGGGAAAAAAATAGTCCTTGGTATGCATATGTGATGCTATTATATTCTCCTTTAAAATGCTGTTTGACATTCTCAGTAGAGCATGGAACTTAACGTTGAAGGATTAACTCTGGATTTCTGTTAGGCAAAGGTGCCAAAACATTTTGGTAATTGGGGCTCCAGGCCAACAAGCTGGAAAATGGAAAACGTGTGCAAAACATGTTAGGAAGAGAGGGTGCTGAGTGGCAACTCTGCAAAAAATCATACACATTTACGGCACCTCTGCTATAAAGTGTACAAGAAGAGCCAACATTCATTTGTCATCCACTGATTCCTCCTTCACTTTGCCATTTCCCTGGCCCATACATTCACCCATTCCCCGTTTTGATCATTAAGTATGCAAGCTTCAGGAAGTTTCAGAGGGAATTATTTATATCTTGGGCTCTTAATATTATTTCTCAGTTGGTGAATCGAGAGATGTTCTGGGTTGTCACAGAGATCTGCTCTGAGCATAACCTGATGAGACGTATGCGTCTCATCAAGCATTTTATCAAGATAGCACGTAAGTGAATTTATACTAGACTCAGACCAGCGAGCCTGGTCACTTATTTCCTCTCACAATTGCAAACAAACAAATGCCTGTAATGTTTCTGGGGGGAATTATTTCATCTAACTCCAGGGCATTGCAAGGAATGCAAGAACCTCAATACCATGTTTGCCATCTTGAGTGGCCTGGAATATGGGTCAGTGCGACGGCTACGCAGTACCTGGGAACGTCTTCCTGCAAAGTATGAGAGGCTCTTCCAGGAAATGAAAACCCTGATGGATCCTTCCAGGAATATGGCCAAATATCGGAATCTCCTTTCCTCTGACTGCGGTCAACCTCCAATTGTGGGTTCTTGTTTAGCTTCTCATTGCTTTTATTTTGCTTTGTGAATCTTGTGACTCCCCATACTTATCTAGTATCTTAGTTTTGGAAATTTTTTTTTTTTTTTTAAATGTGACATTGCATTTTTTCTTATTGCATAAGGAAGTCACCGAGACATTCCTCTGTATCAAAGCACGAATGTAGGACTCCTTTTTAGTGGTTTTTATTTTAAAGTAGTTACTGTATTTTTTTTCAATGGAGCAGCTGCATCCTCCTGTAACTATTAATACCTGGTGGACATAGAAAGTTGGATGGGTTTCAAATTGTGTTCAAGAGTTTTAACTTTAATGCTGTAAGGTGTGGGACAGCTGCATCTTGCTGAAAATTGCATTCTCTATATATCCGTTTCTTGGAAAGTCACCATTTAAAAAATAGAATCTGCTGATCTTGAAAGCTTCATGAAAGTGTTGGTAAGAACACTGACATTGGATATGTTACTGTCCAATTTGTTTAATTCTCCTGTATTGGTTTGGAGAATTGATGTGGTTAAGAAGTTTGCCTGTGCGTGAACCTTTTGCAGATTCCCTTTTGGCCAGTGGTAAAGAAGGACCTCACTTTCATTGACCTGGGGAATGACACAAAGGTGGATGGTCTTGTGAATGCTGAGAAGTTGAGAATGATAGCAAAGGAGATTCGAGGACTGATCAACATGTGTTCTGCACCCTATGACTTCCTCACCATGCTTGAACTAGGTGGTCAACCTGCATCAAATGCCATGGTGACCATGAATCAGCTGACTACTGGTGGCCAGATTTCCCTGTCAACTGTGAAGAGACGAAAGAAATCCATGCAAACACCCAATCCAAAGAAAATGTTTGAAGAGGTTAGCTCAACTCCTTTTGCCTGATAAGATTGTGAAATTTCATTGTGTGATACCTTAATAGTGAAAAGCTAACTAGAACATGCAGCTTCAAAATGAAACAAATTGCAATTTGGCTGTGAATTGGGAGGTGGGGTGTTGCATGTTATCTGAGCCAGATTAAAAATTCAAAGAAGTTTGAGGATATTTAATTGTCACAGAAAAAATTCAATAAGACATGAACTTCCAACTCTAACTCAGTTCATATGACAAAAGTTTCCATGTGAATTTCATACATCTTTTTGCAGTTTGTATACATTGCATGGTGTGACAAGGATGGTCCATGTCCTGCAAATTTGTTATCATCTTTTCCCAATTACAATGTCCAGGTCTCAGCCCTTTTTTCCCATCCCATTAATAGGCTCAGATGGTGAGACGCGTGAAGGCATATTTGGCACGATTGCATGTGGTAACTGATGAAGAAAATTTGCGCCAGATGTCTCTGGATTGTGAGGGAACAGGAACTTCTGCCACAGCAATAGGAGCCCTTCTCAATACTGCAAGTTCATCAGCAACCCTGAAAAGGAGGGTGACCCAAACTACATTCCCCACTGTTACTGTTCAGCCTACTAATGGTCATCCTAGTCCCACTCTCTCAACTGCCTCATCAGCTTCAAATCAGTCAGGAGATGCACGCAAGCCAAAATTTGGTAAGGGATTCCAAATTGGTACACGGTGCTCATGAAGTCTGTCATTGAGCCATTCAACATACTGTAGTGGTGTGAAAAGCAGTTAATTGTCACAATTCCACTCTTGGTCAGAGCCAATTCTGAGAACATAATATTGATGGTGGTGCTCTTATCAGATCAACCACATCATCAGTTACAGGCATATGGAGAATATTTCTCCACAGGAAAAAGTTAGCAAAAAGTGAGCATGGTGGCGCACTGAGTGGAGTTGTGTCATGTGTTTATTTTACTTTAGCACTCAAGTAGCATATTCTTCAGGGGGTGGCTGTCCCCCTTGGAGGAAAAACTCCCAAAAAAAAAATCTCCCATTTAGTGCCCCTGCTTTGCTGCCCTGCAGTCCCCCCCCTTGACTCTTCAGCTGTAATATGCCACTGCCAGCACTTAAAGAAAAAAAAGGTAGGATATCCAGACAAAACATACATGCAACACAATTTTAGGAGGCTTATGTGAAACACTTCCTTTAGTCATTCCTAGCAGCACCTAAATAAATTCACAAAAATTGAGTATTGAATTTTTATCAGAACTCTGGATGCTTGTAATAGGCAAGCATATCACTGAGAACAGAGTTGAGAGGAAGTTACATTTTTCCAGGAGCTGCAAGCCCCCAGTCAGTGAAGAAACTCCTGGCACTGAGCGAGCCAAAGACACGGCCATATCAGCCACCTGCACTTTCCCCAACCCCATCACCAACATCAATTCGAAAGACCTCTGCAGGATGTGTAGGCAATGAGAAGATCATCCCTCTGAAACAGGAGCGATCGCATTCAGAGTCTATGATGACTGTACCCATCTTCCCTGCTGTCGATCTCAATGCCGAGAGTTCGAGTGTCACCAGTCTTGTGCACCATAAGCGCCACGACAAGTTCTCAGCACGTAAGTTGGGGTTCTTGTCTTGTGGAACTGGTGTCACATGACACTATGAATGCTGTCATTTAGCTTTAATTAGTGCATTTTGATCATCTATTGTGATTAACTTTTTTTTCAATAATATTTTTATCATAGAGAATAGTCTGATTCATGTGCTTAGATCATATACATACTGTATTGCCTCCTTTCAATGATCAAGAGAGTTGTTCCTTGCTCGAGTGCTTGCTAATGTGGTAATAATTGATTTTCCTGATATCTTGTATGATTCAGGACATCGGGATTTGTGTCATGATGGTCATGGGGATGTGCCACCAGCAGATACAAAACCACCTCAGCCCCGACTTCCCCTTTCTGCACTATCACATCATACATCTGTCAGTTACTTCAGGCGTGCATCAGCACTTCCTCAAGGTCTTGAATTCTTTTGAATATATAAACATTCACATGACTATGGCTCTGGTATCCCACAACTAGGATGACAGCATGAATTCATTGGTGTACTGTTTTATAGTCTTTGTTGTTTGTATGATGTACGAGGTGAAATCCTTATGTGTCCTCATCCTCTAGGAGGGGTTCTGCTTTAATATGAAAGATCATATGTGACCATATGATGTGTGTGATATGAAAGCCTAACAACTGGCTGGAACATAACTGTGTTCCTGCCAGTTTTGCAACATGGCACCAAAAGAAGCAAAATTCCTGCAAATAATTGTAAACTTCCTTTGTTTCATTCAGGAATGGGAAACAGAGTTGTTCGATCTCAGCCCCCAACTCCTCCACCTGGTGTGAGTGCAGATCATACATCGTTGTTTGGTTTCTCTACAGCATTTTCTCATCCTCGTCCCACGCAGAAGCACTGTAAGTCTTTTTTTTTCTGCCTGAACTATACTTACATTAAATTTCTCTTAAACCTCTTGAGCCATGAATCATTTTCTGGTGGATACAGCCATTATTTGTTACCATATTAGTTGCAATAGTTGCACTTGTAAATATGTCCAGGTGGATCTTGTGCTTCAGTGTAATGAATCTATGGGTATGTTACTTGTAAATGGATTAAAAACATTTTTTTTTGGCAGACAGTAACGGAGTGCTATGGTCTTGGTTCCCCTGCAAAAAATCTGAATTCAATTTGATGTGAAAGACTTTAGATTTCATGCAAAGCAGTGAACAGTCATGATGAAATAGTATTTAGAATGCCCCATATATTGCTCCATTCAAGAAGTTGTTATTGTCTCTTTCTGCTCTCTCAGAACAGAGGGAACACGCATTTGCACTTAGCTCATTTTGAAAGGATTTCTTCTCCCTTTATGTCCTTTCATTTCAAGACCGTTTTCCTTTTCCTCATCCAAGCTGAAGCAGATGAACAAGTGTAACTCGGTTTTGCAATGATTATGGGTGTGTTGTGAACAATGAGGCTAAACTTTGAAGGGATATAGGATTAGTTTTGGGTTTTGATGCTTTTGGTAAGTCCATAATTTTTCAGTCAACCTGTTATTGAGTTTTCCATTCTTCGCACTAAGTGCTTTTTTCCATGAAAGGGAAAGAAAGTTCAGCTTGGCATCTTCAGCTTGAGAGTTACTGGTTGTTAAATACAGGAATCCATTAAAATGGACAGAATTTTACTAATTTACAAAACATGTTCTGCTTTTAGGTTTACTTCTGAATTGGCAAAATCCAGTGCTATATGCATGACTTTTCTTTGGTGTTATTTTCTGTCATCAGAACATGATATGACTCAATCATATCATGTTCAATCAATAGGGAAGAAGGGACTATGTTTCTTTGTAGAACTGCAGGGAGTAGAAAAGTATAAAGTTTTCCCTGTGTTTTTTCCACCAGCTGGATGGACAAGGAGACTGCCCGATGTGGAAGGAAGGACCACAGGCTCAGGGCAGCATCACCCCAGTAGGTGGCTCTCCAATCAGCCTCCAAAGTTGAGGGCCAGGGCCCAGTCAACTGACTCATTGGGAGTTACATCATCTATGCCCTATAGGCAGTTGCATGACCAGGATGATTGTCCTGCAGGTAAGCTTTCCATCACATATTTTTCCCTTTCTTGTTAGAAATGTAAGACCTCATTTTATATCCTCTGGATTCATATTTGTACCTATGGTTTTGCCATTTGTTGCCTTTCTAATTGAGGAGCAGAGGGGATTCTTAAGAAGTAGCTTGAGTTTAAGTTCATTGCTTGTTGATTGACTCAGTTGTTGAGATTATTCCTCTTATGTTGCATCTGCTGCAAAGAAAAGAGTGGATTGAGAAGTTTCTCCATCATTGCAAGTCATATCAGTGTAACTTGTTATTCCAAAATTGCCTCATTTGTTCAGTATCATTTTTTTGTTTTTCCTTGTCTGAGAAAAACTAAGCTCATTTTAGTGCAGTATATTTGTTGAGTGGAAGTAGTTGTCACTGTTCCTCCTGATTGCATGAAGTTTCTCTTTTAACATGGCCATTTGTACTTTCCAGATGATGACAATGAGGAAACACAGATTTCGGCAGTGTGATTTGCAGTGATGCAGGAAAGAGCCTGGGGACCAAGATCCTTCAGTCATTTGATACCAAAGAAATCTCATTTTTTTATTCAAGCATTTTCATGCAATACCATCAACTTCCACGAAGTTGACCTTTGTGCTCTATGTGATGAAATGGACCACTACTTCTATAAAGTCATGTTATTACAAGTTCAAATTTCTTGAATAAATGTTTTCATATTCTGTATTGTAGTTATGGGTCTTTCCATGAATTCAGCCCTGTCAGCATCTAGTAGATTAGTTAAATTCACATTCTGCCTTTGGACTACAGATAATTCTGTAGTTTTTATTTCTGTTAATTTTAATGAGCATCCATCCTTTGAAATAGAAATAAGGTTACATATGCCATCCCACTGATACTGTCAGTGTCTCATTTGAAGAGATCCTGCAGCTTTTGATCGAATGTGTTCCTCAACTCAACGTCATTGACATGACTTCTGCATGATCTTTAAAGTATCAGCCAGTAGCCAATTCATGACATGGAAACGGTTGTGAACGATTGTCATTCTTTCCCGCTGGCCACCACCATGCCATTCTCCTTTTTGCGATGATTGCAAGTACAATTATTTTGCAAGTGAATTATTGCATGCACCAATGAAACAATATTCACAACCTGAAGGGTGGCTTGCATGCATTTGCTAATCGCTAGAAAATTTCTTCTAATCTTTCGTTACAGAAACTGCTCCCATCGACCGCGAATTACAGATTCTCACCATGATTCCCTGGAGTGCGTGGATGCATTAATATTTGCAATCTACCGGTATGCTCTGGCTTCCTCGGAAAATGTATTCAAGCCGAGCGTTTCCGGTAGGATACAGATTGCTTCAGAGAAATGGCCGCTATTACAGTTTTACAAAAAGTGACGAAAAAATGTCCTGAAAATGGGCTTTTACTCCAAGTTCCTTTTCCTCAACCTCGAATTTATCACTCACACAGACCTTTTTAATGACCCAAAAATGGTTCAATGTGCCCTCCTCCACAATCTACAACAGCCTCATGATCTCTCTTCAACCAATCCGTATCATGCAGGGGCGCGTGGGAGATGGGGGTGCGCGGGAGAAACAGACGACAGCAGCAGCCAACTCAGGAACTCAGGAAAGCTGTTTTCAGGAAATTTTTTCGCCACTTTTTTTACTTACCCAGGAAGAGATAGCATCGATCCTCTTAATTACGATCATTCTCGAGAATCCCTGCCAAAAATGCTCTCACTAAGTGCACCTCCCATCTGCGGAAGACACTTTCAAAAAATATCCTATAATAGAAACAGTACCGTAGCATAAGGCATTCTCGTGCTTTCTCTGAGTTTGAAACTTTTTCGGGTGCTTCCCACATCTTTTTGAGGTTCTTCCGTGCTTGGATGCAGCCGAAAAAAAGGCAAATCGTTTTGAGATGGGAATGTGCCCCATATATATTTCCCTGCGCAGACTAAAGATGGCTCTAGTCTCACCGCATCGTCATGGCAGCCTCCGCATGACGTGGGACCAATTCCAATCTCTGACTGACAGCGAGTGGCGAGAGTTGGAGTGATTCGGGTAATGCTTCTCAAAAAGCACTGAACCAAGAAATTCGTAGCAGCCTAGTGTAGCACCTCGCGCCTTGATATGAGTTATCCTAGCCCACTGCGAGCTCGTAGGCCTCACGTAAGGCTAGTGCAGTGAATGTGATGTTTTCAGTGCAAATATATCGATCATATGAGACACGCAGGATTCAAAAGGCCCAATATCCTTCATGTGAAGATATAATCCAACGTTAGGAGGACCAGGGCTTGGCACTAAATAATCATAGATCCTGGGTATTTTCAGTTTGATTTTAAATTTTGACTTGGTATCTTTTTTTTTTGCTTATGACTACCAGTAGTGAGCTAGGAAATTTTGGTCGAGGAGTGCTAGTTTGGTCACAGCTATTCAAAACAATGTAATTTCATGTTAATGAGAGGATTTCTTTCATTATGTGGACACTATGAAACACATACATGAATCACTCTCCCAACAGAATAGGTCTTCAACGATGCAGTATATTAGGCCATTGAAAGGCAGACCCTTTTCCAAAACCAGATGAGAGCACCTAGTTCTTGAGTGGGCATTCTGGATGTCTTATTGAATCATGCATTTTGGCTTAGCTGGATGAGCAAATATGAGGAGCTGTGATATCTGCAATATAATTAATACGTTTTTGAATGAATGAATTTTTGAGAAGAGAATATATTCAGGTAAAGAACTAGAAAGAACTCATGATTCACTTCAAGTTGGCATATAAAGCCATGATTTTAGTCTGATTCAAGGTTTTCTTATTCTAGTTAAAAGATTTATTAAATTATTAACTAATTAATCTTGTCCATTAGTGTCTTTCTTTCATCTTCCTTAGTGCAAGGGACACCAGATTGACTCATGCTTGGGACCTGGGTCTGGTACCTATAATTGGTAGGGAAGGATGGTTTTTACATATTAAGAGAAGGATGCCCAAAAGAGACTGCTTCTGAAGTAGGATAGATAGCTACATTAGTTACATGTGATCTTTTCAGAGTTGTTAGAATTAAGCGCCTGCATTAAATAGAGGGCAGATGAGAAGAAAGAAATGAAATATAATGACCATGGTCAATGTTTGAGTGTGAATGCATAACAGAAGAATTTAAAACAATCTCTGAAATAGAAAGAACAGAAAGAAAGAAAATAGAAAGAAAGAAAGAAAGAAAAAAAATTAGTGATCTTTAGTTGCTTGTTCAGAGCCCCCCTGCAATTTCTTTTCCCCCTGACTTCCACCCTTGAGTTCATGTTTTTTTGATTATATGCTTGACATGGCAAGGGTTTATGGCCTCATCAAGGGTGTATGTGTGTTGTTCATGATGTTCAGGGTATGGTGAGACAGTGATATGGAGGGTAATAAAGATGAGGCAGAGAAATGCATACATATTGCATTGAAGTGCATGAAAGATGGAGAAGTTGATCGTGCAAAGAGGTTCCTGCACAAAGCTCAACGTCTTTACCCAACTTCTAAAGCAAATGGTGAGGGTTATATTGGAAGAGAGTACATTTTTTATTTTCTAGAAGTACATTTGACTAATATAATTTGGGAAAGTTCTTTTGGTCTGTTTTGACAGTTATTTCATTAGCTATAGGTCAGTATTAAGTTGTTTTGCTTTTAAGAATTGTTTGGTAGGTTTAAGTACTATTTAATAGTTTCTAATATTTTTATTCATGGTGTCTCTTAGTTTGGCCTTTAACCATAGCATATAAACTAAAAACCAAAATTAAGCCTATTGTACAGGTACAGGTTTTTTTTCTCATTAACATATTTCAGGTATCTATTCATTTTTTTTATTGAGAATAAGCTTTAAAATTTTTTTTAAAGAAAGTGATTCCTTAATAGCCTATGCAAGAATATCTATAAGCTGATTCTGTTCCAATAACACTATGCTTAACAATACTGACCGATATCAATTTCTCCTGAGGTGGATAATGGTAATTTTCTCACCAGCTGTGTGTAGGATTGAGAGCTTCATGTAAAATGCATAAGAAATGTCACATTAACAGCTTATGAGTTGCCAGCCTCATGCAATATTCAGATGTGATTGCAACTGCCAATAAAGGCCATTTACCAAGACACTTCAAAAAATTTATGTTTTAGTTTTTATTGTGAGGAAGTTCTTGATTCAAGATAGGGATTTGCATTCTTCAAGTGTTGATATTGACTGATACTTGATATAATTGTAGATCTTCTCAATCACTTGAATGAAGTCCGAAGTAATGGACCTTGGAAGGAAGATGGGGATCAAAAAGAGGAAGAAGAGGCTCATGTGAGACATAGGCAGCATAGCAGGGGAACTGAAAAGGATCAAACACCTCATTCATCACCTGCAGAGGCACCTGAATACACTGAGGAGCAGTGTGCTTCTATAACAAGGCAAGTTGAATTCTTGCATCATTCTTAGGGATATCCAAATGTGTGTTCTTTCCTACCATGGAATAGCTCAAGTAGTAAGCTTGCTCTTTTATGTTGCAAGACATGGACACTCTTTAGGGGCAGAAAGTTTTTTAGGAGGACATGATAGCATTCTAAGGAGTCTTGTAAAGTACATCCCTTGCTTTGTGAGTAAGTCATAAATGTCATGTGATTTTTCTTTAAATAACATTAAAGAAAAAGTTAGGCCAATAAATATTTCAAAATGCCAATTCTTGGACATTGTTTCCCCTCACCCAACATTCACCATTTATTAAGGATGCACCAATACCAGGTATTGGATATCAAATTGATATTAAGAAGTTTGGTGTTAACAATTCTATCCATACAGTTTGTTAATTTTTCACCTCACTGAGGCCTCATTGTCTTTCATTTCAGCAATCCAGAAGAGACTAAACAAAACAATAGATCAAATTATATTCATTTGTAAATTCTCTATGGCCTTACTAAAGTCTGAACCTGGATCAGAAACTAGCACAGACTTTACAGATCTTATGGCATCCACATTTATCTGAGGCAAGAAGTTAATGGCCATTGCTATTTCCAGGTAGATATTATTTACTAATATTGTTTTAAGTAGCCCTTGAGAGTCTTCAGTCCTTGAGAGTCTTGAAGTGCTACTTCAGACATTAGCTGATGATGGAATCATCACTCCTCATATTGCTTAAATCAAACTAGATTGACATGGCTAATTAAAGTAGCTTGCTTAACTTGAGCCATACAACCAACAGCAGCCTGGCAGAAATGAGGAATAGATTTCTCAGGTGTGAACATTTTGTATTGGCTGGAATTATCGTCCTTTCAAGTCATTTTTCTTGTGGCAGTATCATTACGTTGTAAGTGAAACCCTGGTAGCCATTTCATAGATGTAAGAGTGGAGATAAAAGGGAGGAATTGTACTTCCTCCCCTTAGTGATGGAACTCATCATCATGATCTTTGTTGTTATTCCTGTAGGATCAAGAAGTGCAAGGATTATTATGAGGTACTTGGAGTGGGCAAAGATTTCGCAGAGTCAGAACTGAAGAAGCAGTACCGAAGGCTGGCTTTGATACTTCATCCAGACAAGAATAAAGCTCCTGGTGCTGGAGAAGCATTCAAGGGTGAGAGCTAATGGTCTGTGCTGATGTTGTCAATGTGGGAAATATCCAGACTCATCCTCCTACCAATGCTTCTACATTAGGGGTGATCTAGTTCTTTCTTCCCATTGGCCATATAAAAGGAAATGCTTATTTTGTTTGAGCATCTGATTCATTGCTAGTAGTGATCTCATTTGGTTTGGATGCAATTGGCCAAGTGATTCATGACCTTTTTTATTTTCTCACCAAGCCCATGTTTCTGGATGCCCTTCAGTGCCACAGCTACTTATGCATTGACTTGGTCCAAGCAGCCATAGCATTCCCATTGACTGGAGGCAGATGGAAGTCTCAGGGACTCATGAGTTTGGAGGGGGGTTGTACAATTCTAGTCTCAGTGTTCCAAGGCAGTGCTCTGTTTAACGTACATCCATCTTTTGCAAAGGAGAATTGATGAGAATTTCAGATGACCACATTCAGTGGCATGTTGGGAAATTTTGCCTTTCTGTGCATATTCTTCTTTCCTATGACTATCCTGATGGAATTAATGCAGAAGTGGCCATAGATTACTTCAAGAAATTAAGTAATTGTTCAAACAAAATGAACATTTCCTTTTACATAGCCAATTGGCAACATAACTTTTTCATCACCCTTCTACACCTACAGAGCAGGAATGCTCTTCACATATATAGGTATCTTAAGAAACCATACTTACAGGAATGCTTCATGTTTGTCAGTTATTATTTAGGCAACTCACTTCATGAAAACCTTTCTGTAAACTGAAACTGTATGTTCAAAAGAAATGCCAAGAAGTAGGGTGGCAGTGTTTGAAATAGTGTAGAGATCCATTGATAATTCATTAAACTGGCATTTTGTTTTCTTTATTTCAGCTGTTGGGAATGCATATGCCATCCTCAGTGACAAAGATAAGAGAAGGCAGTATGATCTCTATGGATCTGAGGAATCAACACGAACCACTCATCGTCATAGGCACTACGATGACTATGACAATTTCTTCCAGTGTAAGTAGAATTTCCATTACAGGCTCTGAATTGGCCTTGCATCCTTGACTGAGCAGCATAGTCTGCTATTTGCATTTGGTCATTGCTCGGGATGGGATGGTCAACCTGGTCAATTGATGGGAATTTGACAGATTTTCATTTGCCCATTCTTAGCCTTATACCCTCAGAATCTTAAAAATCAAAATTGCCACTGTGTGCAACCTAGCTTCAAAAACTTCAAATGAGTTTCTAACTCTTCCAGGTAATTTTCAACTTTGGATACTTCAGTTTAGACCATTCATAGTTCTTTTGCAATTTCAGGTTGAACCAAGTTCAAATGCACTCTTGCCCTCATAGATATATCCTGAAGGAGCCATGGATATTGTATTCTATAAGACTATGAGCTTGATTTAGCCGTTGGGATGCAAATTTCAACTTTTATTGAAACATTGCATTTCTGAAAGAAAAAAAATTACCATAAGGTGTATTTTTTAGAATGGCAATACCTGGTGTTTATATCCTTTAAATCAGTGGTTCTCAACCTTTTTGATGTCATGGCCCATTAATCCCGCTTCCCATACTTATGCGACCCACAGATGTAGAAACACCCAGAAAAAAAGGTAGGTGTATGATGCAAAAAACACTAATTGAATTTTAAAAGTACAGAAGCTAGGTTTTGAACATATTGATTTGGGAATAGGTGATTCCTTTGCTACTTTACCGCTTTGAGCTTCCTCTGAAAGAACTATTCTTCAACCACTTCAAATTTGAAAGCTTCATGGATGCATTGGGAAGCAGTTCACCACTAAGTATGCATTCTGGTTTCATACTTTCTGACTATGAAACCACACTGAAGGTATGAATCATTATGCTTCTGGATTGGTACTAGTTTTTACTTCTCTTTATTTTGGAGGAAAGCGTAATTTTGTACTAGTGCTTGCACTCTGTTTCCTCAGGAAACATTCCATCTGCATTTCATCGTTCATAATAAGTAACTTACCAGAAATTATTGATGAGGTGAACTTCATAAACCTCCCCTTACAAAAAGAAGAGAAAAATTTTCTATTTTGGTTGCAGAGAAATGAAATCAAGAATATAAACTTTGTATTCTACCCACAAAAAAGGTGTCACCTCTGACCACAGCAATGAGGAACCAGAGAGAATGCTGGAACTGACAAGGAGTTGACTGGAGGTGAAGGTTAAGAACAAGATTTATTTTAAAAGACAATTCATAGCTGTTTGCTCTTTCTGAATCGCTTTCCAGGAAGTCTTCTCCCTCTGTTGCCTTCTAATCTGAATGAGGAGTTTAGATCATTCCTGGAAGGTTTAGTTCATGTAATACTGCTCTATAGTTCAATTTGGTGCTCATGATTGATCTCTGTCTTCTTTATTAACCTTTCACCTATTTCCTCAATTTCATTCTCTCACAACTCACCAGTTGAGAACCACTGCTTTAAATAATAGATGTTGCTGAGAACTTTTCCACAATCCAGAAGTTTTTCATTGAAAAAGAGTACTGTAACAGTACTGTAATGCTGATGTTATGAATGCCTCTGACTAGACAGACATAGGCAATATTTGTTTTCAAAATTTGGTGTCAAGATGACTGATGACAGCTGACATTAGCCGTTTGCTCATAAGTGTCAGATTCTGACTAATAATTCCCAACTTCAAGCCATCAACATATTGTATTCTGAAGAGCTTATGATCTACTTTAGAAGACCAGGTTAGGTTTGAATCATCTTACTTTGATCAAATGGAGACCTTCACCTCATCAACTGGTTGTAAACCAAATGTTGTGATTCATATTGCCCTTGGCTTCCTCTTTATCTTTCCAGCTGAGATGACTGCAGAGGAATTGTTCAACATGTTCTTTGGTGGTGGGTTTCCTTCATCAAATGTCTACTATTACAGAAGAAATGGGAACCGTTATGCCCAGAGAAACACATATACAAGACACACACAGGATGATGGGGTATGCCTTTCCATTGCTATGCTTTTCCCATACATTAAATATTACAGCATTTGTAAGACCTATTGGAACCATCACCATATTGTTCCATATTTTTGTTTGTACTGTAAAGAGTGTTATTTGCAGTTCAAGGTAAAATTTCATTCAATTTCTCATTTCTAGGCTCCTAATTATTCTGCACTCTTCAACCTGATGCCCCTTTTGATCCTGGTCTTCATATCTGTCATGGGGAGCTGGTTTAGCAGTGATCCACTTTATAGCTTGGCAGCTTCGTCGTATGTTCCAGTTTCCTGTGTATCATTTGAGAGAAATTAGAGTCATAATGGAGCAACCCACATGCTTCACATCTTGTGAAGTTTGAGTTGTATGTCTCCTTGCATTGTAAAAGCTTCTGTGCTTGCATTACTTCCTACATCTCATCCTTTGATAAGAAAAGTGTGGATTGCACCATTTTGGTTCTAACCCCTTGATTTACTATGAATGGCATTGTGATTAAGAATTAGAGTCTCTGTCTTTGAAATAGGTTTACTGCTCCAACAGGCATAATACATTTTGGGACAGATGTTCCACTCCCAATTATTGCACCATTGTTTTGCATTATGTATATTTTGATTTTGAATGTACAATTGCCAGGCGTTATCCTATCAAGAGGACAACAAGCAACCTCCAGGTAGAATACTATGTGAAGCCTGACTTCTCTGAAAACTTCAAGGGAAGCATACGAAGGTTGGAGAACTCCATAGAAGATGATTACATCACAAATCTAAGACACTCATGCTTTCGTGAGCGGAATTACAGTGAGTTCAGATATTTCATTTCCTCTTTGTTCTCTGTGTGAACTGCACCAAAAATTTGCTATTGATGAATTTACTGTCCAAGCATAATATAAGATTTCCAAGAAATGCTGAACCTTGTGGCAAAAAGGACCCATATGGCATTAATGCTGATGTCTAAACAAATTTAAAAGTTACAGGTTTTGGATTGATAAATCCCTAGTTAGAAGGTGAAGGGATGGTAATTGTATTCAGTAACCACTATTCTTATTCCTCCTTCTTTTCATGCACCCTTAACATACAGTTAAGAACGTTGATGGCACTACTAGACAAAATCCTACTTCATTTCTAAAGGGAAGTAAAATGTGAAAAAAGAATATCATGGGTGTTTGCTCTCCTTATCTTCCCAGAGGAGACTCTACTTTGGCAAGCTCGGACATACGGTGATCCAGTGAAGTTACGTCGTGCCCAGGATTTCCGTACACCTGCCTGTGATAGACTACAAGAAATTTACTCATAATATGTGTGAAGGTTAAAAGAGAGAGACATATTCATATGCCTCTCTAGTATGTGTCATGTTACCACATGTGATGCTGTGGAATAAGGGAGGGTTATAGATGAATTTTCACCAATCCTTCATGCAAATATATCGAGTCCCTTTATATGCTTGATGCCAATCATCTCATTTCCTCTTTTGAGAAGTTTTTAAAAGGACTAATTGTGATCTGTCTCATGAATCCCATGCTCCTATGTGCATCCTTAGAATACACTCGAAAAATTGTGCAATTCTTTCCAATCACCTGGCATCTTGCTTGAATAGAAACTGCCAAAGCAGAAATTAAGCCTAAATCATGTTGAAATTGATTTGGCTGTGTGAAAGCTGGTGAAAAATCATTGGTAGGTGTCTGTTATCGGCCCAAAATAATTTGAAGGAAAATACTTTTTAGATTCCACATATCAGTAGAAAGATTCATTTGTGGAATGATGCAAGAGATGAACATTATTCACATTATTTGATGTTTTACAGCATCTCCTCTTTGCATTATTAAAGATTGTTCAATTATGAATGAACATCCACCTTTTGCACTTAACTTGCATTTGGTCTCTTTGATGCACACCTTTTTCTTTTATCCTGAATATGAATGCAAGAGAGAGCAAATATCCTCAAAGATCCCAAATTCCCCCCTCCCCCCAAGTTTTCACTGGAAACACATGCAGAAAAAAGAGGAATGGATGCTTCATGCATAGACGTGAGACCCTGAATCCCCTGGCAGAAGCCAAATTCTGCATTGCTATGGAGGTTCTTTAGGAATATCTACCCATTTTGGTGAATTTCTGTCTAAATCCTCCATATATCTCCATATCAAATAGACTTTCCTTCTATGATGGTTGAAATTCTCATGAATATGTGGGACATCTTATCATCTTGTTCAAGTTAGGTCTTCAATGTTCTAATGTCATTATATTCAACAGGGTTGGTGAGTTGTACAAAGAGTAATGACTGGTTAATTATTGGAAGAGCTGATTTCATGGATCATTCCTGAACTCAGTTTGGTTATCTGTGATCACCAGCTATATACTAGCTTCATTTGTCAACTTTTAGCTGTTTCTAGGTGCAGGAGTTTGGTATCTTATACCATGCAAGCCATTCTCATTGAGTTGTTGAAAGCAGCCCATGTCACTTTTATTTCCTGCTATCACTTGGAGCTTTCCTGCTATCACATATATTTGTCACTTTTAAACAAAGAAAAGTTGTAAACTTTGAAGAGGCTGCCAAAATCTGTAATTTTTCATGAGTAGTTGAAAAGTACTTGAAATTCCCTGAGTGGGTTTTATGTGAAAGAAAATTTGCATAGCAATTTTACCAATAAATTAAATTTCACAGGCCAGGAGACCTCAATTGTTCAGATGACATGGGAAAATGAGAGGTGCCCTAGGACAGCTTCTTGGTCTATTTTTATGCAAGAAAAATAAATTTGGCATCAGCTTTCCCTATTTCTATGAACATAACAGGTTTATATTTGCCTGTGAAGTTCCTACTTTTTCGTAGATAATAACTAATGACTAACTGGACGTATTATGTCTTCTTGAATCACCAGCATTCTTCTGTCATTTGGACAGTAATTGTGATCTCTGGTCTGTTTCCATCCATGCCATGCAAAAAAGTTGGTCACTCTTGGATACATGAATTAGCCTTCGTCCATCCAGTGCTCATTCTGGAGAAGCGGAAAGTGGTGGAAAAAAGGACACCAGCATTTTATGCTCCATGAGAGCCCTCTGGTGTTATTCAATTCACTTACCCTTTATTAGTTTCTAGCCTCTCTTACTCAGCTTCCCTGATGAATCTGTTTTTCTAAAGATTATTAACACTTTAACAGTTGTTTTTTTCCTCTACACTGCCCTTGTACTGAGTTTTTCTTTTCAAATGCTATGTTTTGTGATACTTGCTAATAAAGATGAAATCCCTGACATACCTTATGTAAGTGAGGGACCAGCCCTTCAGCTTCCATCAAAGTGCACCATGCACTCCCAGTGATACATGATTCAGCCCAGTTATTCATGGTTCTTCCTCTTGGGAATGAACTTGACTGGTAAGTTTTTTTATTCTCCCTCACCAAGTTTGAGACATTTTTACTTTACTCATACTATGAGGTTCGTAAAGCAGAAATTGGTTAGATTTCATTGCCCACTTTTCTCTAATTAGGGAGAATTGCACATTAACAGATGGGGACTTTTTTTTTCATGTACACATTTTGAACACCTTTTACTTATGTTTCATTATTTTCGCAATGTCATATTAAATGCTTATTGTTTTCATATGGTTCACCCAATGTTACTAGGGTAGTTGTCAAGAGCAATATTCCAAAACGTATGACTTATGTTCCCCAATGACTAACCTCAAGTAGACGAGTGTGCATTCCTCTGGAGGACATATAGATTCCACAATGATGGGTCTTGATTAATGCACTCATCCTCCTGCAACTAGGGAAATTGAGTATCTCATGCAGTGACATTTACTGGTAGCCTAATTGTATATTGCTTGCAGGTCAGATGCATTCTCTTAAGCACATGCTGAGATTCCACCACTTTCTTTGGTTCAGGTAGGCATAGAATTTATCTTAACCTTACTAGTGTAGATCAACTGTGGTTCCTTTCATTCTTCTGAGTCGTACTAGGTGACTCCTTCACGAGACTAGGAGCGTTCCTGAACCAGTCCATTTGCTGCTGTTTATTGCTAAGTGAAAGTATCACGTCACTCATGCTTTCATAACTCTGATAAGATCACCTTCACTTTTCTCCTCGTTTTTTCTTTCTTCCCTGTATCGCATCTTTCTCTGGTGCCTGTTCAGCTTTCATACGATGTTGGCAAAAGCCAGGAGACTGTTCCTGCAGATGATGTGACTTGTCAGCATAATCCCAAGGAAACAGCAGAAGTGCAAACGATGATTCCATCCCCTCTCCCTTGGATTCTGTGCTCTTCGCTAACCCATCATCCCGCCATTTACACCATGCTGTCTTCTGCTTCCTTCTTCATTCCTCACTTTCTGGAAGGAATGGTTTGTCTTTGTGCTCCATATTTCCTCGCGGTAACATGTAGATGTAGCGATACTGAGTTTTCAAGTAATCCTATATTCGACGTCCACAAAGATATTGGCCTGGTCAATTGCTCGGCAATTATCCTAAACATTTCCTCTTGTTCGAGAAGTCGGCAGTATGCCGGTGTCAACCAATTTCCTCGCCTACCGTGTTTTCATTTGAACAGAGTTCGTAGGGCTATTCTTTTTTTCCTGGTTACCGATAGCTGCTAACAACGCCACAAACTTGGGCTTGTCAGTTGCCGCATTTCCTACAGGGGATTGCTAATGAGGTTGCTCACAATACTTAATCGGTGGTATTGTTGGTTTCATTGGTTAGTGGGAATCTGCGAGCAGAGTAAGAAAGAAACAACAAAAATTCGCTAGGTTGCGATGATGGGACTTACCTACGATAAGAAAAAGAAGGAAGAAAGCGCCGAGATGACACGTGAGTCTTTTCAGCGCGGAAAGTAAGACAGGGCAAGGAACGGGTTCTTTTATATAGGGTGGATTTTCGAACAGAACACTATCCGATAATGCAGCTTTATTCCAGGGAAAATACATACTTCCCGGAAATAAAGCAGCATTATTCTCTGTTCAAAAATCCACCCATAGTGTACCGTTACGTCAATGCTGCATCAATGAGTCGATGCATGAATAACTGTACACAGTAAGTGTATCATAACGGCTCTAAAAATAAAATCCAGATTCACAGTAAAAACGTGATGCCCGATCGACGTTCTAATCGATAGGCCTGCGCTTGACTGGTGTGCTGCAGCCATTTGTTTCAGTCAAAGTACTGATTTCCGAGGGGAAGTGCGCTCACATAAATATTCGGTCTCGACAGAGGAAAATATTGGAACGTAGATATTTATAATTAATAAAAAATAATGGGAATAAGAGATTTTGATATCCAAGGGAAGTAACAATATCGGCCTAGATATTAATCAACATCAGCTTGGTGATGCAATGTGCAAATTTTTTTTTCATATTGTTCCAGTGTAGTGTTTCAGTAAGATAGGTCAACACTATCCAATGGATTTTTTTTTGCAAGCTCATACAAGGTGGCATTGTCAGGATCATGAAGTCACAACAATATCAAATCAGGTAACAACACAAATAATATTTCATTCATTTCATATTTAGGGGCTGGGAATGATGGACTGGTTCCCTTCTCAATCACAGGAAATTTTCATATTCTTGTAGAATTCCCAATCCTGTTGCTTCATGTTATCTGCAGAAGAATAAAAACATATTTTGCGATGAGAGCTTATTAAGGAAAATATGCATCCCAACCAAACACACTATATTTATATGATTTTGAATATTCATATAGAAGTGCTTCAGGATTTGTTCAGATACCTTAATCCAGGCATGCTAAGGGAGGTTTGAATGATCAGGATTGAGGATGGTTGAACTTACTCCTAAGGAAGACTTTAGATCGAGAAAAGAGTCGAATTCCCTCATCCAAGATGGTCAGTTGGTGTTCCAATTCCTGTCGTTTCTTCTTCACCCTGAGGGTGTCAATGCTCAGAGGCAGGGATGCCAGAGCACGTTCCACTTCTGCCTCCTCTGTCAACACAACATCATGTATCTATCAACTTCCAACCAGCAAGAACTCTCAGGAACTGCCACTTAACATGGCTCTCACTAAGAAAACATGAGAACTGAATTGCATTGGTGCTGAAACTGTGTCTCTACTTTTAAACTCACTCTGAATGAGCTTTTGAAGGGTCTCTAATCTTTCCTTCTCTGGAATAGCCCCTGAAAGATCTGAATCCTCAATATGCTGTGCTGCAGCAATCTCTGCTTTGATTTCTTCTTTCCTCTTCTTCAGATACCTATAATGCAGGAAAGATGCATTTCAAGGGCTTCATTCCTTCCATGAGAGGAGATTTTGGGGGGGAAACCAAGGAAAAATAGCAAGTAGGCATATAGTCAAAAGTTATGAAAGATAAACCTCAAGTTTGTACCTCAAAGTAATAAAAAGAATTTGGGGAATCCATAGCCTGCTTCCCCCAAAATTATCTTTTTGTTTCCATAGCTAATTAACTCATCAGCTAATTGCATTTTAAATGAGCATGATGAACTCTTTTTTCAAACATTCCAAACCAAAAACTACAAGAGAATCTCTAGTACATGCCATCCATGTAAGCCTGCTTGAGAAGAAAAATCAATGTCTAACCGGGGAACGGCACCTCTCTTGTAGTGCTCAGGGAGAGGAATTGGGTGCTTTGGAGGATTTCTTCTTCGCCAGGACTTGAATTCCTCCACCTCCTTCTTGTCTGCATGAGGACTCTGTGATATATCATAATGAAATTGTTTATTTGAATTGACAAAAAAAAAAGATGTGTTTCATCCATTGATTAAGTTTCAATTTGTTTATGGATGATTTCTGTGCTCTCTTCATAGTTTAGTACAGAATGAATCAAGTAAGTCAGCAATAAACTAAATATTCAATGCACATGTTTCTGAACATGAACTAATGGCAAATAGAATCCTATTAAAAAGTCAAAAACTAATTTTCATTTTGGCTCACCTTTGGTGCCAGTAGTTTTTTTGGGCTATGTACTTCTTCAGAAACTTGGTGAATTGAAGGTGGTGAGGCTATGGTTCCTGGTGTCAATGGTGGTTCCCGGGATGAAAGGTCTCTGAATGAATGTGCAGATAAAACCTTCCTTCTTTGCTTCTCTAATTTGTCTCTGTGGTGCATGTCAACCTCAGCATGGGCTTCTCTGTTAGAACTTGCAGATATCCTTTGGAAGCCTTTTCCTTGCACCTCCTGGGAAAACAGAAATTTTCTCCTATCAGAGCATGAATATAATAGTTCCACCATGAGTAATGCACCTCCTATAAATGCTGCAGAGAATGATTGCAGAATGAGTTTTAATGAATATTGAACATCCTTTGTGTGTGACTACAATAAAGACACTAAACTTCAATACAAAATTGAAGAGGATAAGCTTCTTGACACCAGACTAATTTTTTTTGTTTCCTGCTGTTCGTTCCATGAAGGCGAGAAAGGCAAATTCAACATGGAAACTTAGCCTGTTTTATAAGTCATAGTATCTGATAATCTACTATTACTCTTTACCACTTCAAAGGTCTTGTAGGTAGTTATGAATGTTTTGCCAACATCTAACCTGCTAGAGTATGCATCTCATAACACGTCAATAAGGCCAAGCCCTGGCCAGGTGAACTGGCCAAGAAATAATAATCAACAAAGTAGCAGTGCACAGCAACAATAATCTGTTTATTATTTGCAAGCAAGGGCCTAACTCATCCCCTGAGTCAGGTTGATATAACAATGTCACATCTCACATCCATTACTCCTCCCTCCAGGTTGAGGGGGAAGGGGTTTGACAAATATTGCAACACAGGGTGAACCCCAGGTCTGGAAACAGGTTTTACACTTATAATTCTTTTGCTTTAAGTTGTTCCTGCAAGTTTCATTCCAAACAACATTTCTGATGAAAGAACAAGGGAGATAATTATGTATGGCAATGGTTTTTTAAAAACCAATTTGGAGATAATCATGTATGGCAATGGTTTTCTTAAAAACCAATTTGCTGAGGCATTTAAAAAGCATCCCAGAGCAAGTAAGAAGTAACAAAGTTGTTTTCAAAGTGTACAAAATGAACAGGTAAAGTGAATGCAAAAACATGCATGAAAAATGGGGGAGTACACATAGAACACATGCTGTAAAACCTGTTTCCAGATTTAGGGTTCACCCTGTATTCCACCCCAATATACAGAGGTCGAACTATAGTCAAGGATGCTAAAGTAGAACTATTTTATAGGAGAAAGATGACTCACTTCAGACACATCTGTATCATGGGCACAAATTTTGATGCATTTGAGCTGCTGATGAATGATATGCAAGAGATGATAGATTCTTATGCCTTGCTCTTGAATGTGACCTGCACCTTCACTGGATATTATTGCTTCCATTATCTGTTCACTCTTCAAGGCAGAGTCAAATGCAAAATTAGTCAGGCCGCTGTGAGGGTTTTAAAATATATACGGTTTCGTGGTTTTTTGCCAGTAGGACTAGGCCTAACGTCGCGGCTACATCAATGCTTTCCAGTATAGAAGGTAATAAAAGTGAGAAACGAGGTTTCTCCCAGGAGGCCAAGGTTTCTTTAGACATCGTTTCCATAATAAAAGCTTCGGAGAGTGGGGACATGATATATCGTCATGTATGGTTGGGCTCGTAAGCGTAACCCCAAAACCTAACGTTAGGTTAGAACTCTCCCACATTGAAGAAGCACACACGCAAGAAATATAATACACTCTATGCTCTTTACACTTGGGTCCTATGTCTACGGTGCATTCAACTTCGGAGGGAATATCTTCGTCGAACAATGAAATGGCACAGGTTCACAGGCTGCCAAATCCAAGCAACTCCATCTTGCGTCCAAGTCACGTTGGTCTGTGATGTGAAACAGTTGCACATGCGTCGGACTGCCCGCTGCTCGCAAAGATTCCTGTTCCAGTGAAAGTAAAGGCCAAAAGTCTCTGTGTAATGTTCACCAATGAACTCACACTCGTTGAAAGTACATGCAAATAAAATTCCTCAACCTGGCCTCGAGTCCAAGGGCTGTTTAAATATTACGCCATGCTTTGTATTTAGGAATTTTGGACACCCCATGTACCACATCCAGCAACCCTCTCAAGTTACGTTACGCAAGTGAAAATAGCGCGCAACCATCTCCATTCATTTTTCTTGCTTAAATATTAAGTGTCAGTATAGATGACGGGAGTGGGAATGACGGCTCATGATGAATGATACAATATAGATTATGCTGAATTACAACACAGATATGTGGCTCAAACCCACGACGGTCAAGAGGTTGAAATACATTTAAAATTCAGAGCACATACCTTTGTTGTTAAAATACTGTACTATTCGAAAATACACGGACTTCCATGATCACTTCCTAGACCTTCCTGATATACAACCTCGGATATAAGATGGGGTTTGGAATCAATCATTTGCTTTCAATGGACGATGTCCCGACTGAAAAGACGTTGAAAATCGAATATGCCTTCCCGGACCCAAACGTGGACCGTCGGCGATCGCGTTCCCTTTCAATCCTCGAGGAATGCCGTGACGTGTCGCGCATCGTTCGAGACATCAGGATAAATTCCATATTTCATGTGAGTCTTCTGCCCTTTCGAGGTCGCTCTTACGACAATGTAAGGCCTTGACAGCGCTAGGCAAGTGGTTCCATTTCCGCTATATAGTCATTGAAAATAGAAGTTACTGCAAAGAAAATAAATGTATATTTAAGTACTTAGTTAGATTTTATGTACGTATACTTACCCCAATGCGCTCTTGTTCAATACAACCCATTTCTGCTCCCGAGGCATGAAATAAAAGTCAGCTTAATAGGAAGACTAAGTGCAGGCTTCCATCGCCGCCTTTCTTTCTTCCACCGAAAAAAAATTCCAAGGAAACTGAAGAATTATGAGAGGACACGCTTCAGCTAACTCAGCCCTTTTCCCCTCCCGCAGGGGTTACGCAATACTTGAACGACCCCTTATTAGCAATTTTCATGGTATGGACAGTGAATGGGGCAAAAAGGATTCCGACGAAGTCACTGTCGCGCGCAACCCGTATAATTTTGGAAGCATTACGCCTCCGCTTCTCATTGATATACTTCAACTGAGCTTGTAGACGACGCATTATAGTTTATGATAGGAAAATTCAAAGAAGTGATTGCAAATGGTATTCTTTGAACTTCAAGCACGAATGTAAATTCGACTATTATAAAATTCAAGTTTCATGAAGATGGCCATGCACTTCCTTTCGTGGGAATCCGCAGTACAATAAAGCCCGCCGCACACGAGGCTATTCTTGTTGCTCCACCGTCGCTCCACACGATATTGCTCCGTGTGCGGGGGTGCTACGATGATCGCGCGGCCGTCGCGGGATATTGCTCCCTGCTCAGTTTTCCTGCGATAAAAATTGCCATCGCTCGACTCTTGTTCCGTGTGCGGGGGTCCTGCGATGTTGCTGCGATTTAGGCCCGCCCAAATTCTGGCATCGACCAATCACATTGCTTGCAGATTGCTCCGTGTGCCCCTGAGGTTTCATCTGCGACGGAGCTACAAAAATTGCCTCGTGTGCGGCGGGCTTAAAGGTGCATAACGTCTCTAATAAGCCTGACTTCAAATATCTGCAGCTTAATAAATGCACCCTAGGAGACGAGGGTATCATAACCGCCAAACCTCGCATGTTCGCGCCCTTCGGCAACAGCAGCATCATCGAATCACGTAGAATTTATCTTGCATGTTTATAAGATGGGAAACAGTTGATGCAAGGCTTCTCGGATGTGCAGCGCTCGGGACGAAACGCCTGGGAGGAAGGGAAAAAAGAAGAGAAGGCCACCGGGTCGAGCGCAGGAACGGAAGGGGAGAGGCAGGCACAGAAGCGAAGATAGGGCCGTGGGGTGAGCATCTTCCTCTTCTCATTCCTCTTCATCCTTCTATTCCCCATGTTCCTGCTCGTGTTCCCGATCGTCCTTTGCCTCCACTCGGCTTCCGGGTTTGAACAGAACCCTCCTCATCTCGTGGGAATCGGGATCGGTGACGTCACCGGACCGGCAGCCGATGTCGCCATGGTATGTTCTTCGTCTGTTTACATCTAGTTAATCTTCAGGATCAAGGGCGTCTCGTGTGACTTCATGTCCAGCGAATGGCAGTGGTGTAATCATTTTATTGGCTATTAAGAAATTTGTTTGCCACTGTCAAAACGAAACGTCTTAGTATTGGTATTGTAGTATTGGTATAAAAGTATTGGTACTTTTCCTCTGTTCACTTCAAAGCAGCCACCAAAATGTTAGTAATGAGGATATCACCTATTATTCATATAATTCGCACGTAATATAAGTTTTAGGTGGTGTTGAAAGTTACTTAAATGCATACCGGAGAATGACAAACAATAATTTACCTTGCCTATTTCCATATAAAATATTATCCGAGTGGTATTGCCTTTATGTTTATGCATGCTAAGCTTGGCAATTCACTTGAAAATTAAAAGGTGGCAAAAAGGCATTTAAGTGTTTTTCAAAAATGAGGACTCGTACTTTAAAGTAAATTTTCCTAGCATACTTGTACTTTGGACTTGGACAAGCAATTTCACACGTTTTGCGATAATGGAGTTTTTCTCAGGTTTCATCACGTATGAGATCTGTGCTAGTATCTCCATCACAAAGGACGAACGCCATGCAATGCTTACTTATAAGTGTATTGCAGAAAATATTGGTTGCTTATTAACTACAGTTATGATGCATTGAGGAAAACTGACACGATCAGGATCATTGACATTCTTTGCTCACTCTCACACGATGTACGAGACCTTGAGACTTCACCATAACAAGGTCAGAAAGGAGAAATCCACTTTCACGTCTCAATCAATTGCGACGCCATCTTCAGAAGTCAACAGAGTCGCTACAGCGACTACTTCAAATTGCTCAGTGCACCTGGCTGAAGCAGTTGCTGCTATCGAAGGCGAAGTCCTCACAACCAGCCCTCTGGGCTATCCTTTTCCGTAGATCCTGCACGTACACAATATGCACGATTAGCTCTACACAGAGCTCATGTTCCGATTGCAAAACTGTCTCGAATGGAAAATGCAGGGCGATTAAAAACTGATTGTGAGTAACGAGAACGGAAGATGAGTGAGTGCCTCCACGGAGGAAAATAAAGAGAAAATTGCTGACCTTGACGTGTAGAACTTCGGAACGTGCAGGGAAAGCTGATGAAGGGGGGACTTGCCCTGCTGGGATGTCATTTCCCTCCTTCCCTTGACCCTCTTGTTCAGTTGCATCACATATCTTATTCAGAGTTCTGTTCCCATTTCACATCGGCGCTCCTGGTTTTAAGCGGGAATGTATGGATTGAGATCTCCACGGCCTTCTGAGAGGGTTATCATGGAGTGAAAGCTACCGCCCAATTAGATGCTTCCACCTCAATTTCTTGAGGGGGCAATTGATACGTTTCACAGGGAGGCCTTGATCCTGATACTGCCAATGGCGGACCTGTAGTTGCACAATATGCATCCTAGTTTGCGATTCAGGTGTATCCTCTGAAGGAATTGGGGAAGTGTGTGTGGTGTTAGTTTGATTAAACCGTGCCAAGCCCTGGAACAAGTAGCTCATGCTGGCTCATAATCTGTTGGAAAACTATGGATGGTATTCACAGATAGCGCTAGTTCGGAATTGAAATGTCTAGCTCGAAATAAAAAAGTTAATGGTCGCTTTGATCAAAACAAACATTAGAAGGTTTAAAAGATCATTGCGGGATTCAGTGTTTCTTAATTCTCAATTAAATTAAATACTGCTTGTTCGTGAAGTGTCCATGTCAGAAAGCGTTACAAGGCCTCGATTCCATATTGGAAAAATTGGCGCAAAGAAAAATGAAAGATTTTTGGGTATCATGTTTTTGGGGTGTATGACATTTCCTCATATGCCAAATGCAGTGATGAGATGAATAATTTTCTGGAAGCGCCTCAGTTTAAGACTAAGTCTTAGGGATAAGAGAAAGCGCTCGGGAAATTGAAAAGAGTTTCATCTCATGAAAGTTTGTTGGTAGATGGGGTACGCGAAACATTGGCAGGAGACGAAAGGGATCCACTTGAGGCAATTCGCAAGAACCTTCATCGCCTGCGATGACGTGGACTGCATCGTCTTCTGCAGCGCCGACATCGGAATGATGGGGACTGCCGTCAAACAGGAGGTTCTAACTTCTCTCAATCCTCTTTCATTCATTCAAGGACTTGAAAGATCCTCATATGAGCTTCTATAATCCCATTCTTGACTCATTCCCGCATTGAAGTTCAAGGACTCCTTTCATTAATTCTCTCATTATTTTCTCTCATTGCTTGCTCACAGGTGAGAACTCCGGGTCCCAGGACTGGGTATCATTACGTTAGGGGTTGCGCAAATTTTGCACAAACGTGTAACTTTTTCACTCTCTTTCCCCGGTCTCCCTTTTCAAAGAGAAAAGTCTCCCTACACTGTCTCGAAAGAAACGTAAGGATTTAAATTGTGCATTAAAAAAAAACTTAGGATAAAGTTAATAGGTTCAATCCTGAGTGGTGTCACCAAGAGTCACATGCACGTTACCCACGTCTGAAATGTCCTCCATCTCGCAGGCGGCCTTCAAGTAGCACTGCACCACCAGATCCTTCGCGTGAGGGACTTATGAAGTTCCAAAAGGATGACGCTTCACGGCGAACAGCTCAGGAAGCAGATGACAACGTTGCGTACAATTTTTCCTGGGTTCATCATTTACTGCTTTGGTGACAACACCTGACCATCAAGGTCCCCAGTCTTGTCAGCCACAGATTAATTCCCTCTGGAAAGCATCCAAGGAGCAGGTCTATAAATAAACAAGGACGATTGCTGCACTGAATTTTGAGGAATGTATCCTATCCCTCCGGAGAGTCCTTGTCATGTTGAAGGCGGCGGCTGCCGTCATGTATTGCAGATCAATGCTGCCTTCGAGATAGAGGTCGTTTCAATGACATTTTTCATGGGTAACGTATGCAAACAAATCTGTGCAACACAAGTCCCGTTATTTAGTATTGTGAGCACATTAACTCCTTTTCGTCCATCTTTTTGTAATTAGCGATAAAAATCCCTGTACTTCAATTCAGGCAACTTATATATACAGTGCTACATTGAGCGCGCATCCAGCTCCGTTACTCCACTGCGTTCAGTGAGTTTCGTTTTATCTTTTCTGCTTTTTCAATATTCCAAACCCACATCACAGTGTGGCAAGAATCAGTCAGATTTTGTTTGCCGGTCTAAGCCAAGTCAGTTTCCTGGTAGGAAGTTTTTTTTTTCCTACGCTCTGTTTCCAAGTCGTGACGACGTCGATGGATTTGTAAATATTGCAAGTTTCCCCAGTCCTGCATGGTGTCTATAAATCGTGATGTCTTGGCAGTTACTACGGAAAAGAACCTGGAAGATTGCCAAAGACATGCCAACGTCACGACAACCCCAGTCCCTGAGAAGTTTCCTGCTTTATTATCGCTTCCTAACGCACGGTTTCCCAAAGAAAATCCTTGAAGCATGCTATTCAATGCTGCAAGAATTAATGAATCGTTTCGCTTCCCTTATTCCGCCTTTCCACTCCGACGTGCACGTGCAATAATGAGGAAGGGCTGCGCTAGAGAATTCAGAAGATGCCTCTCAAAATTCATGAGGATGCCATGAGTTTTGAAGGGCATGAGGGGGAACGATTCCACGCATTTTCACCCATAATGAGGAAAAGAGAGAAATTTCACTAGGGAATGCATCAACCTGCCTGTTTCTTTCCGCTGTCCATCAGGAATCCAAGCCCCCCCCCCCCCGAGTGACCTCGCATAACAATTATATCCCAAAACGAGTTTAAGTCACGATTCATTTAGCTAAACCCTCCCTGAAACAAAGTTGACATACTTGCAGAGAGATTCAATTCCCAGCTCTCATCTTTTCCTATTTAAATAAACTTGGAAAAGAACTGGATGCCACTAACACTCGACGCTTAATTACAAGCTTTTCCCGAATAATTAAGAGCAGAAAAGTTTACCTTGATTCAGCTCGTCAGAGAACAAATAGAAAAGTCCCTATTCACCCCATCAGGAAGTCGTCTCGTTTCGTAAGGCTGGCCACACACTGGTGGAACATTTGCAAGACGTGTAGACACCTCATTGGATGAAACACGACTAATTGAAGCATGCTTCACCAGCTTGCTGCGGCCCACTGTTCGCTGTGTTTCATCAAATGAAGCGTGTATCATATACGTATAATAGTCGCCTCATCAGAATGTTACACTAGCAGAATATTCATGCCGCAATAGGATCTGCTGTAGCGACACTTGTAAGAGTGACAGAAAGTGGAGACGAAAAAAAGGAGGGGGATCGATTTCGACGCAAAGGATAGTTGCTAGTTCCTCTTCGTCGACCTTCAACGGTCGAAAGGCCTTGATCTTGAAATATCATCCTTGGAGGTGAGGTTTATCCTGAAGGAAGACCTTGATTGATCACTCTAAGTCTTTCTTGAACTTGACCCCCAAAAAATGTGGCGGTATCATAGTCATTTACGATGACCTTGCCAGGAACGTGACTGTGCACATTCCCTATTCTCCTCAAAATAATGCATGACCGACCAATGGAAAACGCCATAAATTCCTTCTACAATCTTCTGCCGAGTAAAAAAAGAAATTCTATGATTGAAGCGCATTGATATTCATAAGATTTATTTCCTTTAACTAACCTAGACCGAGTTGTAAGAGCTATTCTATTGCTTTTCCCCATCCTCCCCAGGATGGGCTTAGCTCGCCTTCTGCATTTTTGAGCCTTTCGTATTTTTTATTTTGCGTACACAATATTTCTCTGGTTTCCCTCAGGTGGTGAAGCGAATGAATGCAGAATTCGGAGGAAAATACCACGGAGGGAACGTGATATTGTCAGGAACGCACACTCATTCTGGACCTAGCGGCTTCTTGTCCTACGCCTTGTACAACATCCCCAACCGGGGTTTCGTCCAGGAAACATTCGATGCCATCGTCGAAGGGATCTTGGACGTAAGTCTCATCCATGAAATCGTAGTTTTTATGCGAGATTCTTCACGAAGGAAAAACTTTTGCATTGTCGTTCTGAAAATTTCTCCCCGAAACTTGGACTTTCCTCTTAGCTCTCGTCGGACCGAGCCACCGTGGTAACACATATTCTGCAGCTGAAAAAGTGAAATTTAAGAAAGAAAAACGTAAGCATTCGCTACGCCTGTCTACTTCGCCGATATCAGAGCCTTTCCGACTGTTGCACAAATAGCTTCGATTCATTCTACGCTTCATTTAAAAGTAACATTTGATCTGGTTCCCTATGCCACTCATGAGATGGTTCCCACCTCCCGCAAGCCTCAGACGCATATTTTCATCAACTCTCTGCGAGTACATAAATTCGGAAAAAAAAAAACCGGTTTCGCGAGACCTTGAGCTCCGGTCGCAACCCTTGAACACGTCATAGAAGTCTTGACAAACATTTAAAAAAATTATTTATTGCGAGACGATGGTGGACGAATCCGGAAGATGAGGAACATAAAACCCCATAGAAAATAGATTTTTTTTTGCTATTGAAATGTTGCGACGGGTGATAATGGCATGCAAACAACCACCAATGAGCGCAATCCCCCAAATTTTGAATCTATTCTACTGAAGAAAATTCTCATCCAGAAATAGCTAAGTAATCACGTGACTTGTGCGAGACAAGTCACAAGTCTAATTGTCCAACTTAAAGTAGAAGAATATGCAAGATCTCTGTTTTCCTTAAAGCTCAATTTCAGTCACATTGGCTTACGTGACAAAAACGAGATAGAACGCTGGATCGCGTACAAAGGTCCGAACTAATCTTTGACGTTGTGGACTCCTCGCACAGAGCATCAGAGAAGCGCACCGGAGCATCCGGCCGGGGAAGATCTACTACGGGGAGACCCTGGTCCCCAACGCCAACGTCAACAGGAGTCCCACAGCGTACCTGGCCAATCCGGAAAAAGAGCGCAAAAGGTAAAACAATTGAATTCGATAGAATGGAAGTGACTTGAGCACGGTTCTCTGCCTGCCTAAGTAGTTGTGCATTCGATTCGATCGCTTGGGCAGGGAATAACCTGTTTTGCCGGGACGACTCTGTGATATGCGTTTGAGGATTTCATAAGCTCAGGAATCTGCTGTAATTAGGGTTTCTGTTTCGTTCGGTTCATTAGTCAATGAAATCTGTAATAAATTAAGAAATCTGTAAGAAATTAATTCGTGTCAATTCTCTCAAGTCCACTCAATAACTTCAACGCTAATTTAGGTCATCGTTTAAGGTCACGGTTCAATCGAGCGAAAAGCCGAAGATGTAGAACCATGGTGTTAAACGGGTTCACAGGTGGGTTCGACTTGTTCTCGCGATCCATCTTATTGATATTCCTAAGTTAAAATCGACGACCTGATCCGATCTTAGCCCGATGAAATAGCAGCCCAACTTGTCCAGCATTCGTTTAATCTAAAAATTGTTGTCGACAAAGTCAGTCTTTGAAAGATCTACAATAAATGCGAACATTTCCACGACTGAAAAGCTCCTGTTGATCTTGGTTGCCAAAGGGACATGAGTGTCTCCCATCCGCACGATTGAGTGATGCATCCCCTCGACGTGAGGGCAATGCCCTCGCTTTAGAAAAAAAAAATCTAGGCCAGAGTGTTGCCTTTGCTCTACCATCCCATTCTCCCACTACTTTTTCTTATATTACAGGGTGCTCCATTTAAATGAAGCCCGAGTAATCTCTGCTCGAAGCTCATTAACGCAATCGCAGCGACACCCAACATACCATACTTTCCCAGCCCAGTGTAACGGCTATTGTCGCCATTACGAGAGCTAAGAGCACAGTGGAGAACCCCTTTTGTGTATCCCTTACACGCCTCCAACGGCAGATAATCCAGAGAGTTAAGGAAAAGGAGGCGCTGAATATTGGTATGAATCTCATGGAATAAAAGTCGAGCAGTAAAAACTCACTTCGGGGTACGCTAGTTTCCTTGAAGCCTGCTCCTCAAAAGGTCAACAAGGGACAAGCAGCCTCGTATATAATGTATTATTCCGGACGAGTTTTTAAAATCATAGCCAGGAGAAAATTTTTTTTGTTCGGATCGATCTCACTGCTATGGAAGTAGGGCTCATTAGATTACTGATTTGGTGCCAGGAGAAAGAGGACCGAGACGTTTCCAAGGTCCACTTCAAAAGAACTTGCTCGTCCAGTACAGCTAAGGCGATTGTAAAACCAGGGGGTGAGGTCTCACATAGCAAATCCGGTATTTCACCCTGTCGAAATCCCTAAACTATTTTCGATCTTCGAAATTGTTACGTGATATTCCCTGTCGTTCCTTTTATTTCTATGCCGTGTTACGGCAATGCCCTGTTTCAGATACGAGCATGACGTGGACAAAGTGATGCAACTGCTGCAGTTCGAATCCGACGGAGAGATCCGCGGCGTATTCGCCTGGTTCGCCGTCCACCCGACCTCCATGAACAACACCAATATGCTCATATCCAGCGACAACAAGGGAGTGGCCTCCCTCATCGTCGAGAAGCACTTCAACGGCGAAGTCATGCCGGGAAAGGTAATTCCGTCGTTCGCATTTTCGGAACTGGTTCTCTTCTCAAGGACGAGTCGAGATGCCTTGACAAACAATTGTGACCCGAAACGGGTAGTGGACCATTCCTTACAACTGGTATTCATTGCGAAAAAATATGATTTATATATATATTTTTAAAAAGTGGATCTACACGCAAACGCCGTTATGGCTTGATTCAATCCGTCTTAGCCGACTCGGAAGTTATTCTACTGCACTTATTCAGCCAATTGACTGGGATCAGTTTGATTTTAACTCGTAATTTGTGTCCTGTTTGGCTCCGAGGCTCGCGAATGAGACACGTTTGTAATTAGTCATTTAAAATCAGGAAATACATATAGGCTTTGATAAGATACTAATGGATTATTTTTAAAGCAGATTTCGATTCTTTTAATTGCAGCAACGCTCATTACTCGTTATTAGGAGGCATTTGTTTATATGATGTCGTGTTTCAAGCCATAAGTTTTAACTAAAGACTTTCCTTCCGGTTTTGTGCCATAAATTGAAACAACAACATCCTGTAATGCATAACCTCGACGAACGGTTATGCCTGTTAAATCACTACCTTCAAAGGGTCCATATGGGCCATATAACTGGACGGGGTGGGAACGTAGAGAGATTTAAGAGCGACAGGAACAAGGACAGCGACACCATTCGAAAACCGCGATTCCCATACATTCTAGATCCTCGTTCAAGCCTCGGTAGCTTTCGGTCGTGAGGTGGATGGAAACTTCACCCACACTTTCGCGCTCGTGAAGGAGAATGGAGGCCAGGGAACGCATCCGCCTCGGTTCTTAATTCCTATTCAGAGGGTCATGGAAGCTTCCAGAAGCAGAGATTCAGGCGAGGACGAGAGTTCTCTCGGGGTCAAGAGTAGCACGTCAGATGCCATTCACTAGTTGCAATGGCCTACAACCTACGGCATCTCCCTCGGGATAAGCCCTTATTGGCTCTCTCCTTCGGTCCTGTCTGGGTTCATCGTCGTGCCGGTACGGGAGAGAACTACACCATTCCAAAAAATTTCTGACCGGTCTCGTCGTGTTTCGAGAGCATGACCTTGAAAAGACGCGAGTGAACTCCATGCTCCCCGACACGTCTCTCATCATTCCACCCAGTAATTTCAGACTGTCAGGCACTGATCACATGCTACCAGTGGCGTAGCCAAGAGAAGGAGAAGGCCAAGACGGATCCTCTCTATCGGCCTCTCTTTGACGAAGAGAAACATATATATTCAGATATGCGTCGTACAAGCCCAGGAGTCGGGATGTCGCATTCCAATGTCACAGATTGCTCTTCACTTTATCACACCAGAGCTTCGCAACAATTGTCTCGTGCAAAACGTTTACATCTTCGAAATGGGCGTCTGGAGCCAAGCGAAGCTCATAGATGAATGACGGAATGCTTTCTGATCCTTCCGGTATGACAAGACGTGACAAGTTATAACAACTGTGATTAATTGAACCCGAAAGTATAGCTCGAGAGCACTCCATGTTCTGGATTGGTCGAAAATTTTTCTCATGTACAATATACCTAATAATACTGCCAAAAAGGGCTCCTGGATTGTCACATTTCGTGTGGGGAAGTTGACTGTGGGAAGACGGTAATTTATTCCTAAGAGTGGAGTGAGCACGAGTCTTAGATATCGGGGGCGAAGCATCTCCTCTGTCAGAGGAGCAATGAAGCACACCTCCCGCGACCCTGAGGGGCTGAGCATCAGCAATCTCGCAGATGAGTCATTGTGAGCAGAGGCTTGGACCGCAGTAGGTATGCATCAATTCGTTCGAAAAGGGGACTACACATAAATCGTTTAGAGAAATCTTGCGTTTATCATGGTCAAAAAGGAGAGAAGAGTTTTATTGATGTTTTGTATGCCATAAGTATTGACAAGATTGATGGCTCAAGGCATTATCGTCGGGATCGTCATGAGTTTCACGAGCCTCAAGGACCCCCTGGGCAGAACCTAGTGGACTCATTTCCAGTTGAACTTTTCACGCTAATGGGCACTGACAGACAGCGCGGAAATCTCGAATATAAATTCGCCTCTCCCTCAAACCTTGACTTCTGTTGCGCATGATGTTCAGGCATTTCAACGAAAGCATAAAATAACAGCATATCATGTTAAATTCACTATTCTTTCTGATTGGAATTTCTTCGACGTGACAAGCCTTCAAGAAAAATGCCCTCATGGGGGGCGAAAACAGATACATGCCCCAAAGATTAGTTTCAAGCTGTAGGTGTGAGGTAAAACCACATGCAAAACATCTTTTGGATTCACATACTGTTTCGACTGCATCAAACCGCGCTTGGCACCAGAGGAAGGGAAAGCATGTTTTACCAGAACGATGGAGCTTTGGAGCAGGAAATCGTTACGGGCCCAATCCAAGTGGTTAAGACGAGGAACAGTTTCTTTTCTGGTGCTAGTTCTGAACGAAACTTTCGTACCGCACGCCTGCTTTTATAACTTCGACAGGGCTACCGGAGTGGAAGTTCCCTTAAGCAGCATTTTAAAACGTGAATTGCAGGGCCCGTTCATAGCAGCGTTCCCTGCATCGAACTTGGGAGACACGAGCCCGAATCTGAAGTCGCCAGTGTGCATCAAGACAGGGGAGCCCTGCGACCCGATCACCTCTGCCTGCAAGGACCGAGGGGACTTCTGCGTGGCCAGCGGACCCGGGAAGGACATGCAGGAGTCCACTTGGATCATCGGGGACAGACAGGCCGAGGCCGCCCTCGTGAGTACCTCTCGCGTGCTAGTGCGAATGCCAAAAGTCCGGGCTCCCACTCTTGTCTTCCCGCTAGGAAATAATAGAGGAGATAGGAAGGAACAAGGAGAGGTCACGGGTTCGAGGAGCCATCAAGTCCATCGGTCAGTACGTCGACATGACCAACTACCAGTTCGAACTGGAACAGGAAGACGGGAACAAAACCAATGTACGTTTCCTTCTTGCAATCAGTTAGTGTGCACCCTTATTCACAAGCTGGCGAAAACACTATCTAATACTGCTTGTATAAAGATATCGTCCTTACGGGTTCGTAGGTGACAACCTGCAAGCCGGCCATGGGCTACAGCTTCGCAGCCGGGACGACCGACGGGTACGGGAGCCTGGAGTTCACGCAGGGAGAGAAGGACCAGCACGGCATCTGGCGCATCCTTACGGCCCTTCTCGATCAGCCGACGGAGGAACAGAAGAAATGCCATGCCCCCAAACCCATCCTATTCAACACCGGAGACGTAAATTCTTTCTATGCCTCTGGAGGTTCTTTTATCATAGAAAAGAAAAGTAAACGTGACTAGGTACTTCGACACACTCAAAGAAAAAAGAACCATCGAAAATTGGGCGACAATATGTAAACTGGGACATGGACATAGGAAGGGCAGGTGTGGCAAATGCTAATCCCCCCTCCCCCTCGCAATTTCGAGAAATTTCATACAAGGTGTAAAAGAGAATATTGGAAAAAAAAAGAAAGTTAATTAAGGACTTTTTTTATTTCTTAAACTTTCCCCTGATTGGGAGTTCTCCTTGGTGCCACCCACTCCTTCACCTACATTTTTGAAGTAGGCCAACGGTCAATAACTGGCGGGCTATCGCACATTACGGTCTAACAGTCGCCGTTCGGCTGGACGTTTGACATTCATCAAAATTAAAATTTTATTGACACTTGATAGATGTTGGCCCACGAACGTGCAGCGTTTTGTCATCCGGCCCCCTGTGAAATTCAGTTGCCGACCACAGAAATAGGCCATAAGACAATAAACTGGCCCAAACCTTCTGATCTGGAGAATGTCGTGTATCTAACAGCTTACAATAACAGAAAACCTTTTCCACCTTGCAGCTTATAGGTAATCACACTGTAACGGCTTTCGGAAGGGCCACCTGCGGTGCAAGACTTTGGAAATAGGCCTATAGACCTTGTAACGCATATCACACCCGTGCCGATGGCTTGCAGATGACGTGGCCGTACCCATGGCAACCCGAGGTGGTGGAGACCACACTGGGGATGATAGGGAACGTGGCCATCGCCGCCCTGCCGGGGGAGTTCACGACCATGGCCGGGAGGCGCATCCGCGATCGCCTGCGACGGGTCATGCGCTCTCACGGCAAGAGAGATCCCAAGATCATCCTCGCCGGCCTGAGCAATACCTACACCAGCTATGTGGCCACTTTCGAGGAATATCAGGTGCGTCCCAGTCGGGCCCATGTGCAGATGATCTCGATTCCTTCTTTCATCAATCTGTTTATCTTTTCTTTAGGTCCAGAGGTACGAGGGAGCGTCGACGATATTTGGTCCATACACTAATGCCGCATACATTGACCAATTCGAGAAACTCGCGGATGCTCTTTTCGATGTAAGAAAGCGTCGATACCTATCCATTGACATCGGAGATTTTCCAAATAGACCGCCATGAAATTTTCCATATTTGGTCTCGTTCTATAGGTTTTTTTTTTCACGGTTGTTGTCGACCTGGAAAACTCGGGCCACTCCGTTTATCGGCACTTTCTCGCAAACAAAACATCTGCTATCCCACGGCGGAATATAAGAATACCCCAGCAGCAATTTTCGATTGAGAAAACCGTGATTTGAGCATTCCGAAGCAGCAGGTCTTCGAGTCGGCGTACGGAGTTCTGGTGAAATTAGGCCAATAAAACGGAATGGAATGAACCTACCTGACCTTGCCCTGATTAAAAAAAAAGCTTCCTATATTTTCCTAAGCTCCAAAAAAAAAGGACTTTTATATATAGCTCGATTGCCTCTCATAGTGAACTCGTCAAACTTGCTTCTCTCGGCAGTAAAATCAATCCTGAATTTATAGATATGCGGTAAAAATGGCCTCCTTTTTCCCGTATTCTCTGCAGGAGCCGAACAAGTGCTCTCCTTGAAGGCGTATTTTCTACAGTGCACTTTATTTTCCAGGGAGCGACCATGAGATCGGACCTCTTCCCCCCAAACCTGCTCGATAAGCAGATAAGCCTCCTCAACCTCATAATGCCCGATCATCCGCCGGTCCGGAAGGATTTCGGCGATTGCAGCCTGGAACCGGAAGGCATGTACCGCAGGCAAGACTCCGTGCACGTCGCATTCGTGTCGGGGAACCCGCGCAACGACAGGAGGAAGAACGGGACGTACCTGCTCGTCGAGAAGTTAGAAGCCAACGACTTATGGGTGGACGTGGCCACGGACGCTTCGTGGGAAACTAAGTCTGGAAGCCTTTTTCTGCAATTAGTTTATACGGTTCCAATCATATTAGGAAATTACACCGATCATTACTTTAAGAACTTGTTGCAGGTCGATCGACGGTCTTGATATCGCAATGATAGATATCATTTCTAGGTAGTCTTCACGTGTCTGTACGATGACCGTCGCGGTTCTTACGGTTGGGGTCGGCAGCTTGCTTTCACGCAGAGGAATAAGCGTAAATACTATGTATTAGGACTATTTTTTTCGGATTTCTTTGTTGGGGGTCTACGGGCGACGAATGCAAAGCTTGGAAAGGCATCCGTTTAGAAGCTCATGTTAAGTATTAAATACAGTTGATGTGAGTATTTCATATATCAAAGTATTTCAACATAGAAATAAATATTGTAGAGCTAAGGTTACAAAAATGTTCACAACACTTTTCCCCTCATACTTGAAGGTATGTGTACGAACGGAAGCCTCGAGTGTTCGGAACCAGTGAGGCCCATATAATTTGGGACATTCCAAAGAATACTCCTTTGGGGACGTACAGGATCAGACACTTCGGGAATTACCGGAACCTCTTGGGAACCAAGTATTCCTTCGAAGGAAAATGCCCCGAATTCAAGGCAAGCCTTGAGCGCCAACATTCTCTTACGGGTGACTGGTATTATAATTTTGATTTTTTCGTTACGGGCTCGAGATTCCAAGTATCTGAGCTGATGCCAGCCGAACCTATGATGAAAATACGCTTGTACTCGATATAAATGTATAGACCAGAATATATATAAATATATATTCTGCTCGACAGGTGGTGACAGATGAAGAATTCGAGCAACAGGCATGGAATACAGGAGAGGGAGAGGTGACACCCGCGACGAAGCAGAAGCAACAAGCCCGACGGAGAAAGAGCTGGAGACTCCGCTCGCAGTTCTGAAGGTCACACGAGGTCCATCCGCATACGTTCATTGCTCCAGGATGGAGCACTAAAAGAGTATTACCCCAGGGGAAGGTGGGACACCTTCGCTTCGGGCATACAAAATTTGTTTTTATTTTTGGATCTCAGACATTTGGATGAAAGGTAGAAAATAGAACCTGTACGTTTTCGGCACACCTCCCGATGACGTTCACTATATTATTCCGAATCTCGTCGGAGCTAATGAGGACTTGCAGTTCCAGCCTAACACCCGAATCAGATTGGGTTACCAATAGGCTGACAACTACAGCTTTGTGCATACTTGAGATAATTCGAATGGCTGCATTCTTTCTTCCTCATTCTGTTTCTTTATTCACCCCTTCTGGTCTAGAAAGGCACTCAATTTCTAAGGACGTGGAATAATGATCGACATGAAAGAAGTTTTGCAATGGGACATCTTGAAAACTACAAGGGGGTGCTGAAAAGTTCGCGACTTTACCCAGACGCAAGAGAGCAAAAGCCGCGCCACGAGGGATGTAGGGAGGGGAGGTGATCGCTAGAGCGCACACGCCGTGAGAGTCCGGTACGACCGTTAGTTTGCTTCCTTCGGCAGTTTGAACTCATGATGGCGGCGTCAAGACCGGAATTCAGCAACGTCGACAAGCGCGTGGTCATGAAGTGGGAAAGGGTTTCCCACGTCATCCGTAACATCCTCGACATGCGAAAGCTGTCTGCGAAATGGATTCTGAAATTCCTCAATGCAGACCAGAAGCGGAATCGCGTGATCGCCTCCCAAGCCATTTTGGCGCGGTTCCACGCTAGTGCTGAAGACTTTGTTGCCAGGTTGGTGACCATGGATGAAACGTGGCTCCACCATTATGATCTCCAGACGAAGGAACAATCCAAAGAATGGTGTTATAGCGGGTCTCCCTGGCCAAAGAAGTTCCGCGTTCAGAAATCGGCCGGAAAAATCATGGCTTCCGTGTTCTGGGACAAGGACGGTGTCACCTTGATAAAGTACCTGCCGAAGGGCCAGGGGATCAACGCCACCTACTACATGCTACTATTAGATGAATTTTGCGGGAAGCTCTGAAGGAAAAACGGTGGGGGAAGCTGAGTCGGGGGGTGCTCTTTCTGGAAGACAACGCGCCTGCCCACACCGGCCACCAAACCACGCAGAAAATCAAGGATTTGGGGTTCAAGTTGTTGGACCACCCGGCCTTTTCGCCGGACCTCGCCCCCTCGGATTATTATCTCTTCCCAGCGTTGAAGAAACACCTGAAGGGGACGAGATTTGCTTCCGATCAGGAGGTCATTGGTGCCGCAGAGAACTGGTTCGCGGACCAACCTAAGGAGTTCTTTTTGCGGAGATTGCAAAAATTGGAGGAACGTTGTAACAAGTGTGTACAGTTGAGGGGTGACTATGTTAAATAAGATTGATTCAGTTTACCAAATTTGCGTTTTCTTCTAGGAAAAGTCGCGAACTTTTCAGCTTCCCCTCGTATACCCCTTGCACCTCGATTTTTTTTTATCAATCGAACGATATTTTATCAGAGCGGACAAAATTATTTTCTCTAGCATTTACGGAATTTGATTGGATCTCTTCTTGGCGTTTTCCTTACATCAACGCCGCTCCATAGACCCAGTGTTGAACAAGCCGTCACATATCTTTTCGATTTCACCACTTTCGAACTCTTTCGAAGGGTCTTCGGCTATTTAGATCCGGAGAGTAGGTGAAACATGCGCAATGTGCACTCCGTCACCCCGTTCGACCTTAGTTGCATGTACGTCTCGGTCTAGTAGAGGTCACCTTCACAATCGCACTCAGCAACCAAACAAGGAGGACTGGGGCTAAAAAATCAAAGATGCAGCATGTTTCAAGCACGAATCCCACGTCCCGTCTAGCCTTGGCCACCTTCCATTGGGTTGGAGAAGCAGTGAAGTTGAACATGGAGTTTATGTCATTTGCAGAACTGAATCGAAAATATACTCTCAATATTAGAAACGAGAAATCACCAAAAGGATGTTATACAGGGTGTTTCAAAACAATAGCTCCATTTCTAATTTTGTTTTAATTCAATGGTTAATGATGCTATATATATGTACACTTTTTTCAAATTAGAATCTTGGGAAGATTCCTCAGAAGAAAACGGCCGTGTCTACATAGTATAGGATGAGCTCTTGCAAAATTGTTTATTCGCCGAATATTTTTTCCGATCAGGTGCACACGATGATTGAAATCTCGACGATACACGCGTTCAACTACCACTATTTGTTCATACTGGCGCAACCGGTAAAAAATAACTCTCTTTGTTCCAATGGCTTTGATGCTGTGGCCGAATAAATTCCTGATCAGTACTTGTAAATTAGTAAAAAGAACACAATTTTAGAACTAGTAACTAGCTCTATTCAATACTTCACTATTTTTAGAACTATTAACTAATTTTAGAACTTTAGAAATAAAAAATTATACCTACATCAGCCAAATTTGCGCCAAAACAATGCTATCAGCAATTATCGAATATAAGCTAGACACTGAGAATGGACAAAAGAGCCTGCTGGTAGTAAAGTGGAGAAAACACTCGATTGCTGCCTGTCGAGCTACTCTTCAGTTTAAATTCATACATTGAGCTGGTTGTCTCTTGCAGACGGTTTTCACGAGCTTCTTCCCAATCTATATGGTAGATGAGTATAAATTCGGAGTCTTCTCAAACTTCATTAGGAATATCCTTTTTTTTTATTTAAAGGAAGTGTCCATTTCAAACGTCAGACTTGTTATTGATATAATATAGTTTCTGAATTTGATCTGAATTGATGGACTTTTGCAGCCTTGTTGACTTTGAAATAAATTAAAACATGCTACTTCCTAAGCCAATTTAGTGAGATATGACTTAGGCAATCATGTGATGACTCAAAGTTGTTGGTCTTTTTTGTCCTACCCTGCAGACTCAGAACAAAGAAAATTCTAAACGAACGTTGAAAACACCCTCTGGATTGATATACATCGACTCGTCTGCTATGCATGTGGAATTATCATGGAAACCATCTGCAATAGACAATCAGCTGCATGAATGAATTTAAATGGAAGAGGATCTCGACGTTGTCTGGATGACAAGGAGGGACAGCGCTCGCCCTCTACTCCACTTAACGGCAGGAAATCTTGTCCATTCCCAATGTCAAACTCCTTTGCAATAGTTGCTATTAAAATAAGTCGAGGAAGAATAAGTTTTCACGCGCAGCCTCGGGATGCATTCACCCTACTTTTCCATGTCCCGATCTATCCAATGTTACGTCAGATTGTATTTAAAATTAAACTTTATGCATTACATTTTCGATTGCCGTTGTGTGTCTTTCATGAGGGAGAGAGAGGCAGATATCTAAAACGGCCTTCGTTTACGCAGCTCCAGACAGGCTGCTTCTTTTTCTTCGATATCTCGGCTATGCCTCGGCCCGCGTTCTGTTGTGCATCGGAAAGACTCGGCGCTTGCCAATCTGTTAATGAGGTCCGTCATAGCTATCGGACTTTCCCTTTAGTGCACTCCTGCACGCGATAAAACTTTTCCGAGCGATTTCCCTCGTCCTCATACCCTAATCATTCCATTACATACTACCCGGCAAACCCCCATAAGATCGGACCATCCGATATCTTGAATACAAGTTTCCGAAGGAATACATTTTCCCCCTATCGGGTTTGGTGTCTCGAAGTCGTTCTCCCGGCAGCCTTCTCTGCTCGTCCTCCAAGCATCATCAACGAAGTCGTCTGAGACCTCCATTCAAAGGCTGGCTTTCTAGTCGAGGTTAGCTCTGCCCGTGTTCTGTTTCATCTCATCCACGTCGTCAATGTCAAGTGCTCGCATGACTCCTTTACACAGAACCATCCACAGAGGAAAGGAATCGAACAAAAACGTTTTTCTCGTTAAAGCCCCTCATTCGTCAAAAGATCTTCCATTACGAAGATTTATCGTAGATTTGCAATTGGGACTATATTTCCCCACTTTTCCTAGAATAGAGCGATGCATGTCGATTCGTAGAAGAATCAACAAGGATTGAACCGCCTCGCCGCCGCACGTCTGCCATTTTTGTCAGTTTTTTTTACTCGTATGTTTGAAGTCGATTGTCAATACTTATTGTTTGGAGGAGTTGCAAGAAGTACGGGAACGCCGTTCCCACTCACCTTCTTCGTATATATACCCAATATTTGAATACCCCAGTTCCCTACATGCTACTCGACTGCAATCCCAGAGCAACAAATATCCAAATCCACCCTGGGGATATCCTACGAAACCGCGGTAAAGAGAAAAGATACTGGGAAAATACCGTGGTCGTCGGAGAAACGGCTGGATCCCCGCACACGGAGTGAGTAGAAGAGGGTAAAAATCCATCTTCATTCACGTCTAACCACCTGTCCAAGGACGTCGGATGGCGGACTCGACTTGGCGGGAGTGGAGCTCGCCTTCCTTGCAAAATGAACACGTTTGTTTCTAACCCCTGGGGCATCATCACAGAGCATTGCGTCTGTCACAGTATGGCGGGGATGGACCAAGGACACTCGGGAATCGTTGAATTCATGAGTAACGCGAAGGAATCGGTAAAACGAAATAAAATCCATCCTGTTAACGTTAACTGTCACAAACCTAATTTGCCTTTCTTTTCCATGACCTTGATCCTTGAAAGTGCAAAGATAAATTAAAATAAATTCGAGACTCGCGATACAAAAACACCATCAATGCCCATCGCGAGATGAAAACCACACGAATCCATCCATGGTCACACGAGACGAGGACAGAACTCGACCGACCACGCGAAAGAACTAAAAGCAAGAAATGGAAGTGCGCCGCCCACTTCTGGTCTCCCCCTCCCCCTCCCCCCAGGCAGCCTTTTCCTGCCATATCCATCCTTAAGCAACGATTCCCTCAACCGGCGGAGAAGGCCTACGTGGTAGAGCGTCCGCGTGCCGTCAGGGAGGCTGGGTGTCGAACCCAGCCGGGCCATACCCAGGCTTCGATTGGGTACACGCTTTCTTCTTTCCTCGCCCGGTGCTCGGCGCTCAGCATTTGGGATAACTGAGGAAGGAGGTGTGGGAGATGGATTGGGGGCCTCCAATTATCTTTTGTTTAAATAATCTAAGTCATCCAGTGGGCTAAGTCGAATTATTTTCATATTAATAGGTCAGAAGTATTAGATATGAGAAATATGTAAAATTTCAAAAGAATTGCGTCAAACTTTAATTTTATGATTTCACTGAACCCACAAGACGCTTGCATTTTTCCCGCAGCTTCTCCCTGAACCATGTGGAACTTTCACCATGATGAGACATCTGTGGAGCAAAAAGCAAGATAAGCCAAGAATCATCGACTCTCACAGGTGGCACCACTTCCTACTCCGAGTGCCATCTACGGGTTCAGAAAATGATGGAAACAATGTTGTACGCCGATCGGGGATTGTTTGCGCATCTCGGCCCACGTGGTCTCAAACCACTCTGAAACAAGTGAAGTGGACCCACCGGCGGTCCTTTCTCGCTGCTATCGAATATGCGGAATCGTATTACATGCTAATTCATCTTGCCCTGCCTTAGCCCGCCCGGGCTACAAGAGCTCCTCGTCCCTTCTCTGCCGCTTTATTTATCTTCATAATCTTCATTTTCTTCCGCAGGAGCATCGAAGAAT